CATACCAAAAAGTAATCATTTGTTCCATCATTTCCCAAATTTAAGATGCTTTTCTGAAATGAAAATACTAAAACTGTACACATAAGGATTCAGCTGGATCTGCTTATACAAAATCATTCATACAAAAATATATATTTTTAAACAACTTTTCTTTTATTAACTTTGATAGTTTCAGGAAGGAATGATATAGTTCTGCTTTGTCCTGTTGACTGAAATCTGAAACCTTTTGATGTCATCAAGTTTTCAAGTTAACCTTTTGTTTCCAAGATGTGCATAAACTCATGATTCTAGTGAAGGTGTATATATGACACAGTGGCCTTACTGTATTACCACATGACAATGTTTTTCGTTTGAGAAAAGAACTAAATATGCAGGGTTGGCGTGTTTAATCATGTGTAAATGAAACAAACACTACTCCAGGTATGTTTTAATGAGGAAACATTGTAAGATAGATCAGAAAATAGTAATAGGGGCCCTTTAACTATGTGCATACGTATAAATTTTTTTTTTTTTAAATACACTATTGGGTTTTTTTTTTAACTTTGTCTGACAAAAACATTTATATTACATTATGTCATTTAATAGATCAAAAACATGTGTATAACTTTACTTTATCTCTTTCCAGATTGGTTCCCTCCATCATGGCCTCGGATGTGTAAGTATTGTTCACCAGTCTCTATAAATCACAGAATAAGCAGCAGTTTCTCTTATACCCCTCCTCAGTGCCCCATAGTGGTTCTTAGTGAACGTCATGCAGGTAGTTTGAGTGTTGGATTACCTCCAGGCACGAGAACTTTTGGCCCCCTAAAGCGCCACATCTGTGAAGAGAAATCACTCCAGAGAAAAGCAAAAGGCATAAATTTACTGATACCGGGATATTGTAGTCAGTACAGTGTATATATATCAGGGCTGAGTGGGGGAAAAGATAATGCTCAGAATCATGCAATGTTATGATTTATAGAAATAATGGAAATGTGCTGGCAAAGCTTATCACACAGTTTCAACATCTGTTTAGGTAATAGAAATATACAGTAGCTATGTTATGCCAAATGCAGAATGAATGTATACAAGATAAAATGTACAGTTTTACAGTTACTTAATATACAACACAAATATTAACTTCAATCCTTTAAACAAGTATAAAATTCTTTTCACTACACACAAACTACTACTGATTACTATCCAGATACAATCTTTCTGATGAAAGAAAGGCTGGGGAAGGCCCTAAAAACACATTTGTAGAAAAATATTATTCAGCTAAAATGCAGCAGAGTATATTAACATATTCAGTGCACCTCAAACTGTTATTCATTCTCACTATTCCAAAGAACAAACTCATTCAGTTGCTTACAAATGTTATTTATTTTAGCACTTCATTTAAGCATGTCTTTATTTTGTTTATTCAGTATATTTTACATTTTATTAATATTTTTATATTATTCATTGTTTTATGTTGTACTAGATCACTGAGACAAATTCCTAGTTTGTGTATTTTGTTCGCTTACAGTAGCTATATACTTGATAGATTTCTGATTCTCACAATGCTGAGAAGTACTGGCGAACTGTGTTTTCATATGTACAAAAGGCAGATTAAAGTCTCCATTTACTTCCTAAACTCAAACAAATCACTACATGCTTTCTCTGTATTACTGATGTCCATATAAATCCAACCAAAGTTGACTTCAGCCTTATAAATAGTAGGTTTTTGCTCTGTCTCATAGGTACTGTCCCTGCCTCATCGGCGTCTGGTCTGTTACTGCCGTCTGTTTGAAGTGCCAGACCCCAACAAACTGCAGAAACTGGGCTTACATCAGCGGGAGATCTTCCTGTTCAACGACCTCTTAGTGGTACGGCCCTTCTCCTCATTGCTTCATCTTTTTTAAATATATATGTCCCATTGTTTCACAAAATCTTTTAATTTTGTGTTGGTGATATTAGGTGACAAAAATCTTCCAGAAAAAGAAGAATTCGGTCACGTACAGCTTCAGACAGTCCTTCTCTCTGTATGGGATGCAGGTCATGCTGTTTGAGAATCAGTGTAAGTAGTACCAGCAGTAATTCATACAAAGTAAAGTCAGTTATATTTCGTTCAATAGTAACATATGTTTAATGGACTAAAAAAGAGTGTATAATTTGATTGTGTTTACACTCATCTTGGTTTTGTTCTTTTTGGTACTAGTTAAGTCATGATGCATTGCAGATCTGGGTTGGTCCTCCTGTTGTCCTGGTTTAGTTCCAAGTTTAGTCCTGGTTTAGTTCCAAGTTTAGTCCTGGTTTAGTATTAGTTTAGTCCTGGTTTAGTCTTTGTCTAGTCCTGGTTTAGTCCTGGTTTAGCCCTGGTTTAGTCTTTGTCTAGTCCTAGTTTAGTCCTGGATCAGTATTAGTTTAGTCCTGGTTTAGTCCTGGTTTAGCCCTAGTTTAGTCTTTGTCTAGTCCTAGTTTAGTCCTAGTTTAGTTCTGGTTTAGTACTGATTTAGTTCCGTGTTTAGATCCACTGTAATCCCGTTTTTAAAGTGGTGTATGTGGAAACAGGACTAAACCAAAACTTTACTTTAAAATTATACAGAATAAAAACCAAATCAGAAATGTTGAACATACCTTAACATATAGAACTTAATTAAATAATAAATAAGGGCTGAACCAAGAATGCACCAGGACTTAACTAGTAGTTAACCTGTACTACATTCCAAAATTCAGAAGAAAACTCAGAAAAAATTTAAGTTTGGCTACCAACACTTTAGATCCCACGCCATAAGTTATTTCTTTTGTACTGTGTTCCCTGCTAGCTGACAATGTTTACATGAGACAAGGGCAGATTTGATTTAGCACAACCACAAATCTAAAATGGGAATTTGAGCCAATGAGCTGTGACATTGTTTATTTCATCTAAAAGTCCAGACACCATGTTTAGCTTATGTTTTGAGCAACGATCCTAATGTGAAATATGTCTTCCCTTGTCTCTTGCTAGATTACCCAAATGGAATCAGGCTTACATCAGCAATACCTGGGGCAGACACCAAAGTCCTCATCAACTTTAACGCGCCCAACCCCCAGGATCGCAAAAAGTTCACTGATGATCTGCGAGAGTCCATCGCTGAGGTGCAGGAGATGGAGAAGTACAGGATAGAATGTGAGTTGGTGTTTTCTGCTGTCTATAATAGTAGTAGTAGTAGTAGTAGTAGTTGCATTGGTAGTAGTTGTCAAATAAAATTATCTTTTTGCAGTATCTGACACAAAGTGAAAGAAGGCAGAATATTGTTGTTTCACTATGAGTACCTTGGAGCGTAACTTTATTTAATGTATGAACAAGTAAAGGTAATCAAAAGAAAATTACATTTTGAAAATACAAATTGCTATAAAAGCATTACTTCTGATAATTAATAATATTCAATTGGATAATTTATAATATATGATTATTATAAATATTTATCAACAACAAATATGTACTGTACTCATTTATATCAAAATATTTACTCAAATGTTATTACAGTCCTTATAATATATATTACTTATAACTTACTTATTATAAAAATAAGAATTTAGTTTATTTAGGCATTATGTACAACTAATAAACAAAGATATCAATACTACTCCTTCTGCTACCCCACACAACTACAATTCCTTCAACATGTTCTCATAGTATTATTGGCCACACAAATAAGTCACCATCTTCACAAATGGGTTGTCAGTTCCTTTTGTTAATTTTAAGAATTGTACTGAGCTCATATAATTAACTCGAGACACAGTTGGTAGAGTAGTTAATGTTATTAGACAGCTCCCCCAGACCACTGGCACTTACGTCCCTCTGTATTGGCCGCTCTCCACAGCGGAGTTGGAGAAGCAGAAGGGCGTGGTGAGGCCCAGCATGTCCCAGAGCTCGGGGCTGAAGAAGGAGACCGGAAACGGCAACATGAACCGGGCCAGCCTGGATGACACCTACGCCATGGGGGAGGGGCTAAAGAGGAGTGCTCTGAGCAGCTCCCTCCGAGACCTGTCTGAAGCAGGTACACACAAAGAACTCCTACTGAACCTAAGACCTTTACTTTTCTGACTAAAATGATAAAAATAGCAAAATGTTGGTTCACTTTATCATGAATACATTACTTAAACAAAATTAAATCCACATTTTCACAATCTCATGATTGGACAGTGGGCACCATCTGAAAGAAAACTTTTTATTTTTAGGTTGAGATGTGAGGCGAGGATCTAATTTTTAACTCTGAGTAAAACTGACAGATAGTGGTCATGCCCATCTTCACATTTATTTATAAATTTTACAGCCATTTCTTCAAATTGTTTTGTCATTTCAATTGGTTTTACTCAAAGGGCCCCTCTTTCAAATTTAATTTTTTATTTTCAAATGTTTGAATTCATTTCCACGTTTGTATCATTTATTTGTGTAGAGAAGAAACCAACATTACAGGGCCTCATTTAGTCCACATGTTCATGTGTTAGTGTTACACCACTGTCTCTGGTTCTGGAGCACATCACATTCATGACATATTTCTATAGATGTAGTATATGTATCTTTATAAAGCCAATAACAACACTGAGTACGTGAGGGTCTTTGTAGCTGTTGGGGATCTGATCTGTGCTGCACTGACTCAGCGGGGAAGGACTCGGCCTCCTGTCTCCTGGTCTCTGACACAGGACGTGGCATGTTAGTGAAGTCATTTTGTTGTGTGTTTTGTTCTTCTTTTTGGTCATTTCCATCCCATGTGTTTTTACTGTTCTGTCCAAACACATCAGGTCTAATCCTGTTTATGTGTGATGATGGTCATGTCCATTGGCTGAATGTGCCTAACAGATCTATGTATGCCTGTACATCCCATGTGCAATGGCCACAGTACTGCTTTTGATGTTCCTCCTCCACCGTGACTCAACCTAAACACTTAGAAACCGTTAAAATAATCCATAGGTATTATAGTATTGCCTTGTCGTTCATTTATTTAGATTAAGCGATACATTTTTGTGCATTTTAAACATCTTTACAAAAAAGACAGCCGTAGTACCACTAGTCACCCACCACCCCTCCCAGACCTGAACGTCTCCCCCTTTTCTTGTCCCGCCCACTTTTGGACCTTACTCACAGTCACACAATCCACTGCACTGCCCCCTACGGGAGCGGTGGACGCCGCACACGTGTGTAGCTGATCCAAGAGTGCTGTCCATCTCTAATCTGTGGTATTGCATGTCTCGGGCAGGCAAGCGGGGGCGTCGCAGCAGTGCAGGATCACTAGACAGCAATATGGAAGTAAGTTGGAAGCAGCTGGTATCCAAGCTCCTCTCTATGTGATTATGTGCACTGTGAAAACACACCATTTTCTTGTTTTTAGTCTTCTTTGCTTCATAGACTCAGCTCATTTGTTTGGATGATTTATTTTCCTTCCTGGGATGCCTTATGACCTGCTTGCCTCAGTTAGTGTGCATGCATGGGTTGCCTGCCTCTGAACCTGCCCACTTTTTTTGGACACCAGGACTCTACGTGGTCATGGTAGATATGACCTATACACACATTATCTTCAGACAAGCATGACTCTACTAATCCCTCTATGACCCTCCCCTCATCACCTGTCTCTGTCTGTCATCCATGTGATGTTCATTTGGCCTTTGGTTCTCCCTCTGTACTAGGCTGCTATCTCATCAAGGAAGTCCAAAACTGTACTCCCACAGCTTCAGACCTCTCCCCCTCCTTCCTGCCTGGGCCTTTCTCTCCTTTTATCCTCTATTCAAACACTTCAAAGATTAGGGACGTTTTATAGCCAAACTGCCGGAGTTCACACAGACCTATAAAGATGTGGATTTCATTCATTCATCCTTTCACCATTCCATGTGTCAATCATTTGTTGAGTTGGAGGCTGGGACCCGGGCAGTCTTCATTTCAAGGTGTCTTACGATCGCTCTGTAGTTTAAAGCATGTGTTAACAGCAACTTTTTGGGACGAAAACATTGCAGAGCTGAGTTTTAGGGCTGTTGTGAATTCTGCACACAGGAGCCTCCTCTTGCCCTTTGACCTCTAGTTGGATGCTACTCTGTGGATGAAGCCTGTCACGACCTGTGCATGTGGACGCTCTTCCTTATTGATTTTAACCAGCTGCATGTGTGAGTCTTTGGAGGTCTGGCGCACTGACCGCTACAAACAATAACACATTCTATTTGACAGATGAAGCCATTCCATTGTAGGCTCCCTATACCATGACATAGTGTTGCTGCAATTTCCCATGAAGACATTTTTTTTTTTACTTTCTCATTTGCATGCACTATAACATTTTGCTACTTATTTATCAAAATGATTTTCCCCTGCTGGTAAGATTTAGAACTGCAGTCTGACTGATAGCCATGGATTTTACTTCTTTTTACTGTTGCAGGGGTCCATCATTAGCAGCCCGCACACGCGACGGAGAGCAGCGACCCCACGCGAGGGTGCACCACGGGGCCCGCCGCCTCCGCCGATGCCCAACTCCACCTCCATTTTGGGATCCCTCTTCGGCAGCAAACGCGGAAAGGCGCCATCCTCGTCATCCCAGAGTCACCACCCACCACCCACTTCGATACCTCCACCGGGACACCCTACCCTCATCTCCCACAAGCCGCACCCCACCAACCTGCACCACACAGCTCAAGTGCAGCACCACGGCCACCACTCGCAGTTCTGCCAAGTGCCCCAAAATCCACCGCCCTACCACCATCACCACCACTACCATCCCCCGCCCCACACGCAGTTCCACCACCAGTCCCAGCATCCCGGCTATGGCTCCTCTTCCTCTTCTTCGGCGCATCCCCCTCCGCACCCCCACTATAGGGAGCATTCACATCACAGCTCCCATTCACATCACCACAACCAGCAGTCCAGTTCAAGCGCGCCCAAACCTAAACACAGTGGTATCAGCACCGTAGTGTGATGTTCTCATTAGAAATAAATTGTAGAAAATGAAAGGACTTGGTTGGTTGGTTGAAGGATTAGCTTATACACCAAAGGGACTGATTGATAGCATGACTCTATGGCCTGTCCACTGTGTTTTAGAGCTGCGGTGATGCTAAACAAAATCACCCGCGGTACAACTCGTCACACCTCCGACTTCTACAGTATATGCAGGACGGGACTCTACTCTTCCACTCGGGGCCTTTGTGAGATTTGGGTGTTGTGGCCACTCCACTTTGCTGCTGCTGCTGCTTCCTGACCTGAATAAGCTTCACAAAAAATGGAGGAACGCAACACAATAACTCATCCAGTTTATCTGTCACATTGATGGCATAACTTCTAGCACTTCTTTTCCAACAACATATGAATGCTATATTATTGTAGCCTCCTCCCTGTCACATGTAGTGGATTTCACATTTCAAGGACAGATTACTGAGCGGACCATCTCAGTCATAGTAGTTTTAGTGCTGTAATTACTGTAGGTGACAGCTATTAGTGTTGTCTTTCATAATTAAATGTGCCAATTATTAATGCATCTTCTATTTAGTCGAGACTTCATGTACAGTATATTGTGCGTAAAAGTAATTTGTAAGATTATACTTACAATTATTATCAGCAAAAATGAATTTTTATCAGTATTATACTGACTATGTGGTAACAGGATGAAGGGTTATGAAAGGATGAACTGAAGCTAAAACTCTTTAGTGTCTTTAAAATGTAACACAGGGATGCTCTCGATAGCAGCTATTTCATCTGGCACTCACAACAGTAGAAACTGTTCAAAATCTCAACATAAATCTCACTAGTTACACATCATGCTTCTCAATAGCTAAAACACAAGGTCTATTTATCACTTATTTATTTCCACAAAATTGAAAAATTGTCTGCTGTGTGAGTGGAACAGCTACTTTCTAGGCATCCCAAATCAAACTAGAAACACTTTTGAAGTCTTATTTTGCCTTGTTCTTTAACTCACCAAAAAGATTTAGTGAGTGTTTAAAATCTGTTCAAACTTAGTATTTGTTTAGTTTTTTATCAAACGTGCAATATCTTTGTAATGATTTTGTACATTAAGAACAAGCCCCGATTTGTGCTCTTTCATGTTTTGTTATTTATTTATTTTTGTTCCGACCCCCGTTGATGTCGAGATAAATTCTACATGTGGCAGTCTTTTTGGTCTTTTGAGAGCGAGACTTTGAGGTTCAGTGGAATGTCTAATTAGTGATTTCTTTGCATGTACTGTTCTTGACGTGAGGCTATCTGCACATTGTAAACAAAATCAGTGTTACCATGTTAGCAAGGTTAAGTGCAATCATGTTTAAAAATGCAGACTTGAGCTGAAGTCTGAGAGTGTCCAGGAAGAGATTCAGGTAAAATAAAAAATACATTTTGACATTTAAAAAATAGAAATACTTAGATGTGGAAAGAGGAATGTGTGTATATATTTTAATATAGGAATATGCTTCTCCTTGAGCTGAACAGAAATATTTTGCTGGATAAGCACATATGAAAGAACTCTTTCATTTTTTAAGGAACTGCAGTTGTAATATAAAGCAAGGATCTGGTAAAATGTAAAGATTAACTTTCTACAGTCTACAAATAAGAGTCTATTATAGTGTATAAACTAGTGACAGTAAACTGTTCGTCCCAATATTCAGGTTGTAAATGTATTTGAACATTTCACTCTTGCCATAAGTCAGGCATAAGCATAACAAACATATCATATAGGACTGTAAGATCAGTTGAATGTCTTTCCGGTTATTTTTGCTAAACCTCCACACAATACAAAACAAAGAAAATATGTTTGATGTGTGTTCATAGATTCAATGTTTTCTGTCATAAATGTTCGAAATGACCCCAACAATGCACTGCATGGATCTGATCAGAGCAACACGTCACTGTGAGCTGATAGAAGAAGAAAACTAATCAGCCTATATATTTTTGTTTTGTTTTTTTCCAGAAATTAACAAAATGTTGACATGTCCTTGCTATTCCATGTTGGAGTGATATTTATTGATGCTCGGCATGCATTTTATCAACAAAGCCATTGTGTAAATTCTAAACATTAATGAACATTGCACTTCTGTTTGCTGAGGGCTTTCATCTTGTAAATATGGGTTTGGATTAGAGTAAAGAGTGTAAAGGGACCAATACAAATATGAGTTTAACTATAAAGGAGCTGTACATACTCTGTGTATACAATCCTCTATTCTGACATGTGCAGAAGATATAAGGAGGACGCATCACCTCAAGGAAGGATCAAAAGGGTGAAACATATCGACTGTCTTTGCCTCTCCTGGGACTCACATTTGCTGTAGATGAAAATGAAAAAACAGACTGTTATAGAAAGTTGCCATTTATATCCAAGCTCGGCTCACACGTGTCATTCCCGCTCATTGCACAAACACACACAAGGGACATACAGAACGCTGCTGCAAGCTGTTCAGTCTGGCGTCAAAAATACGTTGGAGAGAGAGAAAAAAATAAGGGAAAAGACACGAGAATGGCGTCATTAATTGTGCATTCTGTTTGTACAGTGAGTAGTGAGTCAGTTAAGACCCCAGTTATTGTAAAACTTCAACTGTGACCATGTTGAACGCAAAAATAAACAAATATATGACTTATGGTTTATGCTGTTTCCAGTTCAATTCATTCCACATTATTCTGCATGCGAGCACCTGGTAATACCACTAGAGGGCGGAAATTAGGCCATAGAACAAACTTGGCTATTGAAAACTAATGTCCCTTTGAAGATCATGACTGGCCTAAAGCGAGTTAGCGTTGTATGAGTTGACTTGTATATTTCTGCACCAGTCCAAACGTTAAGTGTATGACTGAAAATGCATAGTCCTTTTTTCTTTAGAAGGTCACCCCACCACCCCACTGGAAGGGTATAGCCTAGTTCATATGCGCTTGCGCAATGTATCCATATTGCGCATGTTGACGTTTGACGCAGGTTGCCTTTATGTTGTCCGCTAACTAGTTATGCCTTTCACACTAACAAAGCTATTTCTCATAAAGAAATGTGGTCAAAAATGCACTTTTTATTCTGTAGTTTTAAAAAATAAATATAGCAAAAGTGAAACCAAAGGCCTTAATATGGAGAGGTATAGTTGGTCAATACTAGGACGTATGCATGCATATGTAAATTAGCACCTGATCAGAATAAAAACATACACTTAATCAAAATTAAAACAAACAAAAAAAAAAAAAAGTCAAAAACCACAATACAATTAAAATACATTGGAAATAACAAAATCTTCTCCAGAAGCTAGAGGGGCTCCAAGTGTTGGGTCATTGGGTGCAAATGAGAGGGCCCCTGTCACTGCTTTATAAGATAACTGTTATCTGTTCATGCAGAAGAATTACACACACAAAATGAACAACTGTGGCTTGTCAGTGGAACATTTGTGATGGCCAAATGACAGTGTTATAACCTCAGTGACTCAACACATTTGTGTCTGAGCTAGAAGCATTTTTAAAAGGTCAAAAAAATTTTGGTAGGGAGTGAAGCTTGACCAACTCTGAAAAGTAAGTATTATTTACTTATCATTTATATTTTTTCATGTACTTTTGTATTCTACCTTTGAAAAAATAATTCTATCTATCCCTGGAGGATGATTTTCAGTTTGATCTTTAGCATCTTTCATCTGATTACCATGACTACTGGACTTACCATAGCAGCTCATCCATGTCGCTATACTGACCATCCAACAGAAGGTGTCATTGTAAACTGCAACTTCACTAAACTCCCCTCTCTCCCTTACCTGCCCCGGAACATCACAGAACTTCACCTGTCCAACACTGGCCTGTCCACAGTGCCTCCTGGCCTCTTTGACAAACTGGTTGGACTGAAAAAACTCTCCATAATTGGGAATCCTTTTCATTGCGACTGCAGGATTCAATACCTGAGAAACTGGTTGTTGAAAAACCGAGATATATTTACAATGGAGCCTACCTGTGCTAGTCCTGGTGTTGTGACCCAGAAAAACATCTGTGAATTGAGTGATGATTTCTTCTCGTCCTGTTCCAAACCAAGCTGCACAAATGGAATATATCTTGTTCTGAACTGGGTGATTCTTTTGTGTGTGATTGCCTTAATGGTTTACACACTGAGACTGGCTAAAGAATCCACTATAACATTGTACATAGATGAGAGACACGCACTATTCGAAGCTCATTCTCTCCGTTCTCAAAAGCCCAAACACAGAAGGAAGTGGAGTTTTCCGAATAAGCAGGAGCCACTGGAGAGGCCACTTTTGAACATGGAGTTGCTGCCCCAAGTCCTGGACACACTACATAAGAAACACAACATTAAGATAAAAGACACATAAATTCTTGGATTGGACTGGCTCTCAAACTGTGACACATTTCTGGTATTACAAGGTTACTTACTACTACCCAGGTCAGGGTTCAATTGCAGGCCAAGTCTCCTTATGCAGCAGTTGTACATCTGGTTTAGTCCAGCTTAACATGAAATAACTGCATAAAACAGATTGCAGATTTCTTGACCTGATTTATGGTTAATATCTCTGTAATGACTGAGTCTAACAATGTGAAACAAAAACTGGGACAAAATACAATTTGTTGTCAGTATAAATAAATGAAAGCATTGTTTTCTTTTCACAATAGCTTCTGAAAGTGGTGCCCTGATTTACCCACAAAAATATGACTGTTGCCAGTTGAAAGAACTTTAAAACACAAGATTATGGCAAGTTTGTAGACCCAATCTTTAACAAATAATGATAAAGGAGGACATTTCTTCTGAAAACAGTACATATACCCAGTTATATAGGCCACTGCCTTACAGCTCAAATTATGACATTATCATATTCTACAATGTGAACCCCCAGTTGGGGTAAGATAAACTCTCTTCTGGGTGCAGTCCTTCTCACTGTGTCATAGTGGAATAGAGTGTGTGCTAAGGATTAAGATTTTTTTTGTAAACAATGACTATAACATTATGACATGTTACAGTATAAAGGATTGTATGTTGCCTTTGTTGATACTATAACATTGTTGCAAGAGAAAAACATTATGATCTCACAATAAGAAATTGCTGTGGGAACTGTTCATATTTTGTGGTTTGCTGTTGAAAGTGGTCTCTCAGCTCAAATGGATAGATGATAAAAAGGGAGTCAGAATAAATTGTGAATTGTTACATGTAAGATTATAACCACCAAGACAGATATAGATTTTGTGATGTCTTTGCCACTTTGGACACAGTCAACTGTCAACACATAATCAAGTGTATCACTTGAATCAATGTTAAAGGTGATGTATGTAACTTTTCGGGTCACCCCTTGCTGGTCATCAAATTATTGCTAAATTAACAGGGATATACTACAGTATGGCATTAAACTTAGCAGGTGACACCTTCAGGCAAAGTTTAATTTCAGATGTTTATACATTAATTTGTCTAATCAGAGAAGGACAAACTGCATTCAGAGGCATTGGAAGAGCTGTTTTCTTTATTTCTCATTGAATGTGCAGTTCAAAGCTAAAATTATGTGATCAAGTTCTGCCAAATATTAATTTGATTGAAATGTATTTGAAAAGTAACTGTATTATCAATACCACCAAATGAAAGAGGAACTGTACTATACTGTACAATAGTTACTCAAATTAGTATTCAAAATACACATTTTCTGTACATTTAGTTACTTCCCAACACTGCTTATCTTGTACTTCTTAATTTATCTGATTTCCAAAATATTCCAGGCAAAGCAGCTGCATGGAGACAAGCAGGTGGTAGACCCCATACTAAAAATGGTTACATGAGACACTTTAAAGTGAAGTGAACTGAAAAAATGCAACAAACTGATAAACAAAACACCAAGAGTTTCCATTGCACTGTATTTTATGAGCAAAAATGGTGGAACTACGTTGTTATGGGTTCTCACAACAAGAGGAAAAAATGCAGACAGTACCAGGACAATATTGCACATTTAATGACTGATATACAGTGCACATATTAACTCATGCATAGATGTTTTAGGACAAATGGGTAAACAAATGACTGCAAAGGTTAGCATAAAAGTCATCTTAAAGGTTTAAAATACTATTTGGATGTGCTTTGTAACACTGAAATAAATATAAGGTCATAAAGGATCTGTAACAATCTAAAATATTATCAAATTCTAAAAATACTTGGGGAAAATAAGGCAGTTTTGGAGAAGTCATACATCACAAAAACTATACAAAATAAAATTGACAGCAACAGCTGCAATAAAATATTTTCTAAACTTTTCTTAGTGTTAGCAATGGTATTCAGTCCATCCTCCCATTACATAGTTAAACACAGTGTTTCTCCAGCACTTTTTGCATTAAGTGGCACTCAGTCAGTATTGCTAACATAACCTCAGTAACCTTAGCAACATTAACTACTGAGGCGAAAACTTTTCTTGTTCAAAAACTAGCTCAACTGCCTCAAACACATCTTTTACGATGTGCCCTGGTTCGACTAGCGCAGGGTCAAATCTAAAGTCCCGGTGCCCATGAAAAACTGTTTCCTTAATGCACTGGTTTGCATCGGTCGGTACTTCTGCTTTAGGGTTGTAGACGCCAGTACAAACCAGGATAGACTTGCAGGACGTGGCAGAGGGCAAAGCGAATTCACTCTCCCACATGTTTTCCCCCTCATCCACCTCAGGAACGGCAGCAGTAGATCCAGTTGCTGTGGCAATCTTTGCAACAGCTTTTGGGTTCTTTCTGGCTATTCTCTCCTCCAGGTAGCGGTTGTAGAGGTTAGCACCATATATGTCAGTCATGAGGTTATCCCTGGAGTTAGAAAGCACAATTATAGAATTTGTCATGGATGCTAATCATGTTAAAGGAGCACTTTTTTCTGGTGGGGATTTGCCAGCTGCTTGTCTCTATGAAAAATGTATTGTTTTACCTGGAATGTTCCACATGTCTAGTTTACATTATTCAATTAGGCATTTTATAATTAGTGAAAAACATGAATTCCTACAATGAATGCAGGAAAATGTTGTGTTCTGTGAGTCCTTCAATAAATCTGTAACTTAGTCTGGTGCCGAAATCTGTTGGTTTCCACAGAGATAATAATTGTAATACCTTACTGAGGATTACTTCACAAAAATCAATAACATTTGAATGGAGACAAACAGTGGGCAGAGACTCCACCAGAAAAGACAGGGAAGATGTAACAACATCATAGCATTAAAATCAGTTGGCTTTGCATAAAATCTAAGCTTTAGATATAACCTTGATATAATAGTCTAGATCAAGGTGATTATATCTGTATCTACTGTCTTAATCATCTTTTGAAGTGAGGCACATTTTGATAAGATGTATCTTTATCTTACCCTATGGCATACAGTGAGGTGATAGGATTCTTCCACTCTCTTTCCATGGCCTGACACCTGATGAGGTACTCAGCAAAGTGGTAAGTGAGCTTACTAGGTTTCCCCATAAGAGCCTCATACTTCAGCTCTTCACCTGTGATCTTCTTATAAATATTTTCAAGGCAAACAAGGAATGTCCCATGGCCAAACCTGAACAAAAGGCAATAATAACCATTCAACTATCAATTATGAAAGGATGTTTTAAGAAATACAGAAAAGCTTCATACCGTGGTAAATGGGCCTCAGCCATCCACATGAGGTCCATGTTGCAGGCCAACAGTGGCAAGTGAGGCAGCTTCTGAGTCTGCTGAACACTGCTGAGATTTCCACCAGTCAACAAAACATCAATGATGAGCTGCAGGTTGGTCTCCCATCGAATTGGCTCTCCAAATAGGACCACAGCTGTGGTGCAAAAGTATTTGTGATTACACAATGTATGAATACTGTAGGAACAGTACTGTAGGACTACTGAATTAAAATTATTTTCTTACCGTCAACCTTAGGGAGATTGCTGACTGGACTAGACTGAAAAATGAATAGATAATTACTACATAACATGTTTCTATAACTGAATCAACAGAACAACTTCAAGTATCTCACCGGAAGTTTGGGTCTTCTATTATGGTCCACCATGTCTAATAATGGGAAGGACTCCCGTAGCATATCAATACTGATCACATTATTAAATCCTAAACTGAATAAGTCAATTAAGGACATAAACATTGTTTGGATGACGTGCCACATTAAAGAAACATTGAAATTGTATTTATTTAAGGATGCTTTTTTGCTATTTCCAGGACCGGCCCTTGTCCTGACACCAACACACACTTGTTGTGGTACTTTTTGAACATTCTCAGTGGACTGTGTGACATGATAACCTGATCTGGTGCTATCTGGAAACAGAAAAGTAATCTAATATTAATACAATTTACAGTTTACTTTTTTTGCTTGCAAAAATACATGAGGTTTCTCACCTGTACCCCCAGAATATGTGAGAGCTGGTCCGCTTTTGTTTGTCGGGGGCAGTTCCCTGCATTTGTGACAAAAACAATTGGCACCACAAACTGTCCTTTTGAGTTTACCAACATTGAAAAGGCTTTTTTGGCAGCAGGGATTGGCATTCTTCCACGGACTAGAACACCATCTATATCAAACAACAGCCCAAAGCTTGGTTTTGCCTGTAAAGAGAATAAAAACACAGAAACAGCCCATAGTTTAATCCATTTTGATGGGGAACTGAGAAACAGCACAGCTATTCATGTGTACTTTCTCATATGAAACAGCCTTCATGGAGGAACTGCATATGTTGCATTATTCTAAGAATCATGGGATTTATGTTAAACTGCTTAGGCCTACACTTAATTCTGCCCTTGGCTTAAGACAATCTTGTGGATATACTTAATTTATAAGAAGTAATGTACAATATATTATATTATTATTATTACATAGGACAGTGATTGGGGGCTGTGACAGACCTCCAACATAAACCTAAACAGATACAATGGAAGGTGACACAGCAGTAGTTTTGCATACAGACAAGGGTGTCTTTCTCAGGAAGCCAGTGAGGATCCTTGTAAACATGTTTTTCTCTCAAGGGGCATAACACTACATATTTTACTGATGTCACTGTTTCCAGATCTCTGTCAGTACGTCCATTCGAGAAAGTTATCGCTACGTTTTCTACAGATCGTTTAAAGAAAAATGACTCAGCCAAGCCAGTACCGTACCTCCTTTATAGACTGTGTCCCGTAAAACCCGCACCCAAAACCGAGAGCCCTCGCTGTTCGTGCGGCTTGGCTGCTCATGAGGGGGCTCAGACCCCGGTACAAAGGCAGGAGTCCCCGCATCTCCTACGATGTTCACCGGGTGGGCTAAAAGAAAAATACGAGGGGCCCCAGCAAACACACCGGGGTTTGACCCCGCTAGCTCCAGCCTTGGCGTTGGTATGGTTACACTACTTCAGCTTTTCTTCAGATGTGTTCTCGGCTCATGCTTTTGCTCAGGGATCCATCACCTAACTGGAGTCCTGACTGGGCCAGAGCCGTTGACGTATTTGCGTAGGAGGGACTCCCTCAGCCGGAAGAGCCGCTCCTCTGCAGTGCGCTGCCATTTTAGACTGCTGCGAGGTGGAGCTTTCACTTTCTTCAAACTCAAACGCACAAAGCACTCTTTCAACGCAACACGGTGGAAATAACACGAAACGACAGCACACAAGATTTCTCTAACGTAATTGTACAAATTGTACGATAAAAAGTATAAATTTCACTGCGTACTCATATGGCCTGCAAGATCACTTCACGTGCCAGTCTCCATTTTGAATTGAGACTTCTTACCACTCGTACACAATGATGAAAATGGAAAAAATGCTCAAAGTCTAGGAAAAGATGGACTTTTAGCAACTACTAGACTGTAACAAATGAGGCTTGATTTTAACGTGGCCGATAAACAAATACATGCATTAACAAAAGCTTTAGTAATGTCTCGAAACAGGTTTATCAGTTCACAATAAACACAAAACAATTGTCTTCCCCGTGCTCCTCCAGCTTTATTGATGAGTTTAAAATTACATTTCTATTTTCTAGGACTTCAGTTGCACTTTCCTTCCGACTTAAAAACTGAGTACAAGCAAATGGTATTTATACAGTAGTCTAAGTGATATTGTACAAAAATAACATTTTTTGATTTCTGTGAAAACTTTTTTTTCATCCCCAAATAACTCCTAAGTCTGCTGTTCTGACAACCGCTTGTTACATTTTACCAAGGTAAAAAAAAATGATAATTGAAATCCATTTTAAATGAAAGTCTACCTTGGATTACCAAGTCATTTAAATTGTAAACAGATTTTTTTTCTATAAAAGAACTTGATTCTTTTAATACCTCCATAATTGTATATCTTAGCAATATAACATGTAGTTTGTTATCGCCCATTTAGCTGCATGTTGGGCTGAAATGCATGTTATGAACTATTTCCATGTCATACTCCCTTGGCCAACTCATACCCCACTAAAACAAACCAAAATAACCATACATGGAAGTTCAATTTCCATTTACTCCCTTCCGTCTCATTTGACTGAGACTCACTTCCATAAGCTCAGATGTCCTATAGGTTCCCATATGTTTAGTCCCATTTATTCATCTCTGATCACCAGTGGCTTGGAAAGGGGGATTCTTTAACAAAGCATTATACATAACACCGCTACCAAACTAAAACATTTTGTATTGAATGCAGAAAGATATTTTTTCACCCCTTTCTTTGTATTACATGTCGAGAGACTCACTGGCCTGGGACTAGCCTCTGTTAGCCAACCTTTGGCCAGTGAAGAGGATTCAGAGAAAATAATACAACCAACCATCAATCTGAAAAAGGAGGGGCAACAGAGGGCACTGATTATGCGGTGGCTTCAATGCTGCTGCAGTCCTTTGCCAAGTGCCCAGCCTTCCCGCAATTGTAGCAGTTAGTGTCGCTGGTTTTACTGCAATGCACGGCGACATGACCGATCTCTCCACATCTGAATGAAAAAGAAAGAAATGTTGTCAAGTTGTCATACCAAGAGACTAGTGAATATTACTGGCCCTAAAATGGGAGTGGTATTAAGACTCACCTGTAACATTTCACCTGTTTACAAATTTTCTGGATGTGACCAAAACCACCGCAGGAGTAGCACTTCTGCTCTGCATGGTCACAGTCCCGAGCCATGTGGCCGGCCTTGCCACAGCTGTAGCAGACCTGCTCTCGTTCCTTCTTGGGCTCCTTGCAGTCCCGAGAAATGTGACCACTCCTGCGACAGTTGTAGCAAGCTAAAAATATAGAAAAGGAAACTACTTACTCCTCCTCAACAATCCAAACAGATTGTACCAACAGTAGACTGTTATACATACAATCTTCAACTTGTTCACAATCACGGGCCATGTGTCCTTGGTCTCCACACCGATAACAGAACATTTCTGTGAAAGGACAGATTCGCAAGTTATTTTTACACGTCTACAACATATTGATTATAACAGGACAGTACCTTTACCCCGTGTTCGGCCCCTGCCACGTCCACGTCCAGGTCCAGCATTCGGGCAGTTCTTGATCCAATGCCCTGTGCGGCCACATCCATAGCATTCACCGTTGCTGCTCATCTCCATTACCTAAAGATGATAACTTTAGTTATGCACTTAGGTTTAATTTGATCACATCACTTTTAAAATTATGGCTTCTTCCAGACCACTGGTATACAGACACACACCTATTAGTCGGACCTCAATTAAACAAAAATTAAGTTTTGCAAAACACGTGAACTCATAATCCAGAAGGGTCAAAAATATACTAATGCTTGGGACTAGTCTAGTCTATTAATAAAAAGGAGAGATTTTTAACTACAGAATCTACTACTTTACTAACTTACAAGAATGCCTCAATGGCATCATGATGTGATCGCCATAGGTCAAACTTCTCTTCAAGTGTTTGCTGACGGGGCTAAAGACGTTAGGTCAGTAAAATAGGGTTAATGATTAATGCATGGTCTCTCGTTTTGATTTGTTAATATCTCTTTAACATATTTAAAGTGCACACAAGGGAAGAAAACACGTCCAATAATACTCATGGTTGAGGATTAACACACGGATACACTAATTGAAAAAAATAAATTTAAAAAAGTGTTTTCAGCTAACGGAAACTACGACATATAGTAGATGCATGCTGCTGACCAAGGCGAAAACATGCCGTGGATTGTGAGCTAACTTTAGGGGCTAGCACCACAAGGCACTCATTTCACGTCGTGTTAAAATCACATCTGCAATTGTTAATAGTCATTAAGATAAAGTAATTACTTATTCCTAATTGCTCGACCTGTCAGGACTCTAGAAATATGCTTTCAACATACTCAGTTATTTTAAACTACTCGTAAAAATCCTACAAGCTGTGTTGTTGAAATTGCGATAGAGCGCTGGCCTAGTCACGTTGATTCTACTGCGTGCTCTCGAGACGCACTGGCATGAGCGCATTAGCCACCATGCTAACACCAGCATATGAACACGGCCAACAAGCGCCACACGGTCGACGATTACAACTTTATACTTACTATATATACTTTTCACCGTCGACAGAATTAAAAACAATCGTTAATTTTATCCATGAATGTAGATTTTAGTCTCTTAGCGATCCAAACAAATTTCCCGCGCACCACGCACATTTCACCAGAGCTGCTACTGAAGCTAAGCTAAAGGGTAGCGGGCCAGAGTGTGATCCCGTTACTCCATTACGAAGCCCCACACAAAACTAACATCGCAGACGAAATCGACTGCATCAGGTCTAAAAATGTTACTAGGACTTGGCGTGTATCGCAATACCTCTGATAAATATAAAACTAAACAAGATGCATAGCTAAAGTACTTTTAATGCTGCTTTGTTGGTGCTTACCTCAGTGGCTACCTAGCTATGTCAGTGTTTACGCCTTCTTCTTTGCGCTGCATGCGGTGAGAGCAGGAGTTGCTCGATTGTCATTCACAGTAACCACTGGAAAGCAGCGCGGTCATTGGGCACATACTCCACAGGGCGCCAATCAGAGCAGAGGAAGACTGGACACCGCCTCTGCGTTTCAACCAATCACACACATTTGGACTGGCCCCCTCTCCCAGCCTCTCTTACGTCAAACGTCAAGTTTTGTTGTCCTTTTTTATATTTATTTATTAACCTATTTTTATATTTGAACAACAATACACAAGAAATATATTGCGTTGAGAAGAAAAAAAGTAACATTCATGAATATACTTATGAGTCAAATAGCCTGCTCATAGCCTGCGTAACTTTGTAAAAAATTGGTTTGTTTATATAAGACTGGGGTTTGCACATTTTCCAGTGGGAAAAATCCAAAATCCTTTGTGAAGGTTGCTCCTCACAATAAAGTGCAGGAAATAGATAAAATGCAGGTAAGGTAACTGATTAGACAAAATGATGAATATTATTCAGTATAAGATGTCCATATACAAAATATTTATACATTAATGGCAAAATTATGTTGATATTTGACAATATTGTATATTATAATCATTATATTTGCAAAAGCACACTATAAAAAGCAATAAACACGTAGCTAAATAAGAATTAATACAATTGATAGGTTGAAAAATATAGGCACGTTTTGTAAATTTCATCTCATTCAGCAATAGTTTTGTGAGGGATTACAGTAAAATTCTGGTCCAAAGTAATACATTTATTAACACTGTAAAAGGCATATTCAAGATAAAAATAGCCAGTGAATAACACATTCCTTAAGTGTGAATCATTTATAAAACAAATACACCTATTTATAACTTATAATCCCTACAGTTTTCAGTCCTCACATCAGTGTCCTCTTTGTACCAGTGTTACAGCTATCTCAGTGTAGCGCATGCAGTAGTATCCCATCTCACTAAATGCTCAGTGAGATCAATAGCTTTCATCCTAGACTTAAGGTGGATTTGTTAGTCACATTTAGAAATCTATTAATGTTGCCTGTACACTTAGTCTTACACCAGACCAGTTGGCGAAATGAAAATGAGCATGTAAACATATAAAAATGTTATAGGAATTACACATATTAAATAATATTTGTTAAAGTAAAATACTGCCTTTTGCTACAAATATAAGCAGGAAGACCTTAAATTTCAACAATGACAAAGCCCTTCCCTCATCCTCACAGATAGTCCAACAGTATGTGGTGATTTTTGCCATTAGTTATCTCAAATATCTCAAGAAATGCAAACTCAACTTTATAGACGGAATATCACTTAAAAAAAAGGCGCATTATCCAAAAAACATGGATTTGCATAGAATTGATTTTGTTGCTTTGTGGAAAATGTGGAGGCTGGACCTAGACCATCCCTGGGATGTTGATGATGTTGTTTCTCGCTTAAGTTTAATATAGGCTATTACAGTCTTCATTTGAGTACCTATGGACCACAGCAAGCTTGAAGGATGAAAACTTGAGGTGAGTATCTTTTTTATTTTAGGTCTACAGTGAAAATGATGTAACGTTAGGCCGATGAAATTGGATTTTCTTTACTTTTATTTTTAACTTCACAGCTATCTTTAAAAACATATACCACGCCCATAAAGTTAAAACATTGACTTTATATTGTCTTAGCTCTCAAAGTTGCACTGGTTTTAATTAACCAGATGATGGCGCTCTTGGGCGGCTAATATAGACTGATAATGCATCCCTTTAAGTGGCACTTTTTAAAACATTTTTTGTTTGTTTTTAGTTTGTACAACCTATTTTTTATAGTTGACCACATATAGCCTGTTATTCATGAAAACTGAATTAGTTTCCCTTAGATTTCGAACACAAAGTATTGCAAACTCTGCCTATTGAAATAAAATACCCCTAAAGTGACGCTTACATTTAAATGGCTATAGGTGACAAACCATTAGTGGGTGGGCTCATTTTTGCTCTGTACTGCGCGGAGTGGGTGATGCTTGCAGGGGCAGCAGCGCTTGTTATGACTCTAGGTCCAGTTTCAATCACTGGCGTCAGACGGACTCTTACCTCTTTCCACCTTCTCTTTTACGGTGGATATCGACGGAAAACCGAAGCGCCCGAGTAACTCTGAGTCGTTTTACTGTGAAAAGCGCTCCACGGGACTTAAGACCTCTTGCGCGTGTTACTTTGAGGTCAGGCGGATTTTTTGGTGTTTACCGTGAATAGTAAAGTATACATTTGTCTTATCGTTTTTCGAGATGCTTTTATAATACAGTTATATTATTGTACCTTACGGCAGTTTCAGTCTGGAGTTAATTTTTGTCGCATTTGCACGCTTTATTTAGACTTGTGACTTTTTCCTCCTCGCTTTGAATGCGTTGCAAATATGATGTCACCGACGCCACTTTTTCCTGAAGTTATGGCGGAGCACAACTTTTCTTACTTCTCTTGGTAAGCAATACGCTACAGCTAGTTAACATTGATCTCTGTCTTAACTCGTGCCTCACTTCATACTCGCTTCAAAAGCGTGGTTAACTCGCTGAGGTAGTTTGAACAAATCCAGTTTGAACCGATTGTGTAAACTTTGTTATGTCGTTGTCTTTTGAGAGGGCCGAGGCAATTTCATAGTAATACTGTGCCAGCCAGGCCGTCAAAACACTCGTAGTGGCAATTAGCTTCATATTTTTCTGCAATCGGTGTCTTCGTAAAAGTTGTTGTTTTGATTTGCAGATACCTCTAAGGTAAATTCATTGTACACTTTATGTTTTTCCGCGATTTCCTACAATACCGACATGCTAACATTGCACGCTTGGTTTTCGTAGTTTGAATGCAGTGAACGTGACCTTTTGCAATATAATCAAACAATAGCTTTTGCGATCTGCACTTCAACAGTTCCCAGTACATGCTTGCTGCTGCCTTTGTATTGTACTGTGCAACTGAAAAGCTCCAAGCATTTCGACATTTTTCCAGGGATAGCCCAAAATGGCAACCACAAAATATGTCATAATGGGTTGAGTTGGCGTGTTATTGTATAGCTCACTCTAGTCTAGTGATAGGTCTGTGGAGGTCGTGCTCTTTTGTAGTGAGAGTGTACTGAAAATAACTGGAACTCCTAGCCTAGCAGTTTGTATTGGAAACAAACCACAGGAGAGGGCATGGTTGTTTGGTCTAACCTGTCTGTCTTGTTAAAGTTAAGTGCATTAGTGAAAGTTGCAGCTTACAGTATTGCCTTATAAATCCATTCTATAATCACAGTTATCCTTTTTGTTTTGTTTGTTGTGGGAAAGCATGCACTGTAAATAGCACCCCTGACTCTTGTAGTGGCCTCAGATACTCCTTGTCGTCAAAATGGATTAAGTTGTGATTGTCTCATCTTCAAATCTTTTAGTGTTCAACTAAAATTAAAATACTGGTAATATTTTTAGACTTCCTTGTAAGAAAACAAAAAAACCCATGCGCGCTCTGCCACGAGAGGGAGAGATAACTTAAGTGCGATAAGTGTATGCAGTCACGGAACACTATTTAATAATATTCGCTGTATAGTTTATTTGTATATCTACTGATAAGGATCATGGCTTTGATGGCATAATAAAACATGATTATCCAATGAGTAACTATGCTTTAATACTGTCCTGGATATTGTATTTTAATATACATGTAGTAGCTTTATCATCTAGTAAAAAAAATAAAATGGTAAAATATAATAATAATAATATAATAATTATTATTATTATTATTGATAAAAGAGCCTTAACAAATCTACACCTAACTGGTAATGATTCAAGACTACATAATAAAGCCTATTGGTTGCAAACCACTGACTTTCATCACAGAATATGGCTCTTATTGCATAAGGACCACGTGCATAATGGACAGTGTATATTTATTTTATAGTTCAGCTTCTGCATTTGGTAATACCACTAAAAATAGTTAAAAGTGCAGGTTCAGGATCTACCTGCTTGTGTCCATGGAGATTTTAATTGCCTGGAATTTTCAACAGTATGGCACAAAACAATCTATCTCCATGAAGACAAGCAAGTGACTCCACCAGTCCAAATTACAGGTTAGATCTGCAGAGGTAAAAATTTATTTTTGAGCAATAAAAACACAATAAATAAATGTGAGATGGACATTGTACATTGACATGTATTACATACTTGAATGCTCATGCTATCATCATGTGGCTAAGCCATAAATGATGGTGATCTTCATGGATACAAGCAGGCGACAGACCCTCCAAAACTTTGTGCATAGTCCACTTTTAATTGGCACTATATTTCAAAATATTTTAGATCTCCTCTTTTTAAGTTTATTTTCTTGTTAAGACAAATAACAATAATGTTATGTTTGTAATTGTAATTTCTTTTTATTTCAGACCATTGATCGCACTTGGCTGTTCTAATGGAGCACCTTCAGGGAGCGTGGAAGTCCCTGAGTAACGGGTTCAGTATGAAGGACCCTGCGTTTGAGAACCCCTGCCTGTCGCCCACCATGGTCCAAGGCTTCCCCTGCCACCGCCGCTCCTCCGATGACAGCAAAATGCCTGATTCCAAGACAAGCAGCACAATCCGTGTCTACCTCCCAAATCAGCAGCGCACTGTGGTGAGTTAGTAAACGTATTTAATACAACAAAGTCCACAGGCAATACTCTGTCAGTAAAAGCATATCTTTTGTAGCAGAGTTCCAACTTCGGAGGAACAGATTTTGTGTTAAATGGCACCAGTTCAAAATATGTCTTGTTTATGTCCATAGCATTAAAAGTGAAAGTTATATTTTATCCTGTCAAAATTGCGATTGTTTTCCTTGTATTGATCAATCGTGAATAATTTTTCCTACCAATAAGTGAATGAAAGAATGACAACTTTGCACATCAGTTACTTGAGACAGGTTCTTTGGAGGATAGGGAGCAGCCCAAGAACATAGATAATATACATACATACATAATCCCACACACCGTCTTTCTTGCAAAATGTGAGATTTATTAGGACAAACCATGCAATGTTTGCCTGAAGAAGGCCTAGTGCCAAAATGTTATATGGTTTGTTTTTTCTCTATGTCCTACCAATAAGTAAATTATACTATGTCATGTTGTTACAAAGCAAAATCTTTAAACATATATGTTGTTGCTATGATCTAGATATTATCTGTGTTTTATTATTCCAAAATGGGGCTAGAGACAGTTTTCTTGTTGTTACCTTGATTGCACAGAATTTCCATTCTAAATTTCAAAAAGAAAAATCCACAATATAATTTTTATGTAGTACCTTTCTTTGTTAAACATGGCTTATGAAATGTTGAATGTGCTTCACTATGTGCAGTAATCATAAATAATTTTCACTTTTTAGCTAGGTCTCAATAATGATCTTGAGTTGAGAAATGCAATTAAATTATAATACTATTTCTCACAGTAACTGTAGCTCTTTATATTTGGCATCACTCCCCCCAACCTCCTAATCAAATAATGAAAAAAGAAAACAACATTTTAGGCCTTTGTCTTCACCACTGGTTTATCATGAGGCTGTATTGTGGGCCCCTGAAGTGAGTGATTTGTTTCCACAGGTAAATGTGCGACCTGGTATGACTTTGCACAGTTGCCTGATTAAAGCCTTAAAGGTCAGAGGTCTGCAGCCCCAATGCTGTGCTGTTTTTAAATTGCATCCGGCACAGGGAAGGTAATCGGGAACATGCAACATGAAATGGTCTATGTGTTTGATACTCACTTTGTTTGTATTATCCTCTTATTCAGTAAAAAGCTACGAATGGATTGGAACACTGACTCCACTTCTTTAATTGGTGAAGAGCTACTTGTGGAAGTTTTAGATCATGTGCCCTTGACAACTCATAATTTTGTGAGTATCCAAATTATGATTCACAACAAATTCAAAGCCACAAAACATGTATTTAAAGGTACACTATGTAACTGTTTGGTTAGGGGGTGTCCACCACCTGCTTGACTAAATGGAGATTGTGATGCTTTTACCCAGAAGTTTCCATAATACAGCATTTAACATATTTATCTAGCATTTATCTGAGTACAGCTCAAAAATGCCTTGAAAAACATGCATTCTTGTAGTCAGTCAGTCTACAGATCTGACCTGTAGCTTGGCCCGGTGGCATTACCTTCTTGCCTCCATCGAGATAGATAAGTTTAATGACATACTGTGGTACAGTCTAGGCAAAGCAATAACATTTCTATGGAGACAACCATGTGGTAGACCCATCCACAGAAAAGTTACATTGTGCAGCTTTAATTCTCCTATGTGTCTTTTTGCAGGTTCGTAAGACATATTTGAAGTTAGCCTTTTGCGATATTTGCCAGAAGTTCCTCATTAATGGCTTTCGTTGCCAAACCTGTGGCTATAAATTTCATGAACACTGCAGCACCAAAGTCCCAACGATGTGTGTCGACTGGAGCAACATAAGACAGCTTCTGTAAGTGTCTCCTCATTATACTTCTAAGCTTTTATCTTGTCACTCACTGTAAATAGAGCTTTTCCAGTCTTTGCAGCTTTGTCCTAGTTTAGTAATAGAGCAATAAAATTGGTCTCCAGCATGGTTTTGAAACATTAGCTTATAAAATTATTTTGGATGTTTATATTAGCATTGAATTCTATAATTGGTAACTGTCATTTGAATATCTTGTTTTTCAGGTTATGTCCAACACCTGGAGAGGGCAGTGCTCCGTCTCTTCCACCAATGACTTTTCGAAGAATGAGGGAATCTTTAACCAGGATTCCAAGGTTGGCCAAATTTCAGTCTTTATTTTTTGTTTACATTTTCATTATACATTTTCCTTATTACTCTTCCAGCTACTTATTTCAGCCTATGACATGCCCGATTTCGTTCAAATTTTTAAGTAACTTTAATGTTTACTGAAGCAAATCCTGATTCTTAATTGCCTACTGCGCTTTATGGGAGCTTACATTTCCAAGGCTGATGTAATTGGTGCAGTGAATAGGCTCTGTTGTTTCAGATGCACTTTAAAATGGTTTAAAAAGCACTTTGGGCTGCTGTAATAGCACGTATCGAGCAGTGCAAGTAGTTTTGAAACATACTTTTGCATTTCCAATAGTGGATTTGATTTGTTGTCAAGAGTTTTACATTTGTAGGTTTGCTGTGCAACTTACCTTTTGTGTGATATGTGCATACTAGTTGTAGACAAAAGTGTATTTTCTTATTTATAATGACACAGTTACACAACCTAATATTTGTATTTATTAGTAGAAGTATTAGTCATTTTCTATTGATGGAAATGTTATGATAGTTCTGTTACCCATATCACTCAAGAATAGGAAATATCTCCACACCCACATACACTAAATATAGACTGTGTCATCCTAAAGCACCATTTGGATGAAAACACACAGAAGTCACTTAGTATAAACATTGTATTGGATCTTTGTTTACTCTTGACAGCTCCGCTCACAGATACTCTACGCCTCACGCCTTCAACTACAACACATCTTATGCATCTCCGGGGGGCGCTCTTTCTCAAAGGCAACGCTCCACCTCCACACCCAATGTCCACATGGTCAGCACCACCCTGCCCATCGACAGCAGCATGATGGAGGTATCTACCACACATAGGACACTTGAATACTATTTAGCATACACACCCCTTTTCTATTTGTGTATGTGTGTGTGTGTATATAGAAAATGTATATATAATATATATAATATATGTAATATATATATAAATATATATAATAATATATATTATATATATATATAATATATATATATATATATATATATATATATTATTAATTTATTATCTATCTATATATATAAAGGTTTACCATTTGTGGATTTGACTTTTTTGACTCTTGCTCCCATGTTAGCGTGAGTCATTGAACACTGTAGAATCTCAATGTGCATTTCAAGAATTTCAACTTTCTCCCTTTTATCAACTCATCTACATTCTGTTAAGTAATGTGCCTTAACAGGTTCTAGCCTGTTTTTAATCCCCCTTGCAGCTCATTTTGGTGATTTTACTGTTTTTGCTGCCCAGTTTCCTCTTTCTAACCACTCTGTTGTTCCATAATTATTTCACCAGTTTTGCATGGCACTCTTTGGCACTGCTCTTGCCAGTTTTCCTCATCTTTTCCTATACCTTTTCCCTCTCTCCTTCCTTCCTTGCCCTGGTGGAGAGTAGCTAGACGGCCTGAATGCCTCTTCCAGCTCCTGGTGTCATAGATTCTGGCTCAAGAGGAAAGTAGGTATAGTGCACTTCTCCCAGTCATTTGCTGAGGCCACACCCGAGATTTCCGACAAGGTTAGAAAAACAGCCTGTCTGGGTAGTATGTCATACACTCACAATAGAGAAGTCAACGCATAAGACAACATTCAGTATGTTCTTTAATGAAAATAGTAAATATTTCCTTTTTTGCAGGATGCCATGTGTGATCACAACTCGGGTAAGTGTCTATGCTGCCATGACACCTATATGGCAGTGATAGGAGTGAGTACTATTCCACTACCATGACATTTTTTGCAAGTAAGAGATAACACTCCCAAAACATCATAAATTACATGTTTTGAATGAAAGGCAAAAAAATGCCTAAAGATATTAAACAGACTTTACACCACTATCCCAGAGAATGCTAGAGAACAGAAATACATTCTGTTCTAACTGAATTTTTTTGTTTTTCTCAACTAGACCCAATGTACTGAAATTTATGTATGAATTTTTATTTATTATTAATTAGCTCTAGCTTAGTATGACCTGACCCATGGTTCAGTCGAATTTCAGACAAAGTTTATCCCTATTTACAGCCTGATACAGCTGGGTTTTGTTCCACTGGTATTTGAAGAACTAAATATTATGTTAGGCGGTACTTGGGAGTGAAGTTTGAGAACCACTGCTCCAAATCATATTCAGGCACTCTCTGAATGTTAATGTGCTATATACAATTATCTCATTATCTCTTTCTCCATTTCTGCTTTTGTAGCAGGTAGCTCTCCCAACCAGAGCCCCACTGGCTGGGCCCAGTCCAAAACCCCTGCTCCTGCACAGCGTGAGAGAGCTCCTTCTCTCAACACTCAGGAAAAAAATAAAATTGTAAGCCTTCTGAAAATGGCAATTTAATTTTTTTGTATATGTACTTACCACTTTCCTGTATCCATGCAGAGACCTCGAGATAAGCGGGATTCCAGTTACTACTGGGAGATTGAGGCCAGTGAGGTGTATCTGCACTCCTGTATTGGATCAGGCTCTTTTGGAACTGTATACAAAGGGAAATGGCATGGTATGGATGGGTGTGCCTTCATAGAAGAAGCCTATAAAATTTGTTAACACATAAAGCATTATAGACATCTCTTCATATCAATCCAGGTGATGTAGCAGTGAAAATTTTAAAGGTCAAAGATCCTACCCCTGAACAGTTTCAAGCTTTCAGAAATGAGGTGGCCGTTTTGCGGTGAGCTTTCTAAACCTCCACTTTGAATTTCTGAACATTTTCATAGCAAACCATTATCTTATCTGTGTTTTGCTGGTGCCTCTTCCCACAGGAAAACGCGACACGTCAATATCCTGTTGTTTATGGGCTATATGACAAAAGACAACCTGGCCATAGTGACACAGTGGTGTGAAGGGAGCAGCCTTTACAAGCACATTCATGTTCTGGAGACCAATTTCCAGATGATCCAACGAATAGACATCGCCAGGCAAACTGCACAGGGCATGGAGTATGTTTGAGTCTTTAAACTGAAAAATATAAAAATTACACTATTAATATGTCAAATTTGATTTTTTTTCTTGTAGCTATTTGCATGCAAAGAACATCATCCATCGTGATATGAAGTCCAACAGTATCCTTGTATTAGCAGAGGAAGTACATTGCTAAAATATAGAACCATTTCCACTTTGGTTGTTATTCCTTAATGGTATTGCAGACATCTTTTTGCATGATGGATTAACAGTTAAAATAGGGGACTTTGGTCTTGCAACTGTAAAAACAAGATGGAGTGGTTCACATCAAGTGGAGCAGCCCTCAGGATCTATCCTCTGGATGGTGAGTTGCTGTGCTCTGGCAGAGGACATGTGTGCATTTTGTACCTAAAACAAAACAAACTGTTTGTTTCAGGCCCCTGAAGTGATTCGAATGCAGGACAACAATCCGTACAGCTTCCAGTCTGACGTCTATTCCTATGGAATTGTGCTCTTTGAACTCATGACTGGAGAGCTCCCATATTCTCAAATCGCAAACAGGGATCAGGTACATTGATATCCCCATTGCTGTCATCACATGTATTTTGCACTGTAGATTTATTAGTGTCAGGTTGTGCTGACTTAATTATAGCCCTTTACTGCTATTTTCTTTTATTCATAATTGCAAACAATAGCGTTGAAATAATGCAAGAGGTCCCATTTTAAATTAAACCTGATAGAAAGTGTGCCCAAATTGTATGTAAAAAACTCCATCAGAAAGGCCTCATATGCCTCCATTGTTCTTCAGCTGCACAGAGAGACACAGAGGAGGCCTGTAGGCAGTGGAAATACACTGTGGCTTTCCAAAGGGTTTGTTGAACTGGCCTGAGGCCCACTGAGGCTGCTGCCCTGGAGCCATAGACCTAATTTTAGCTTTAGTAACACAATCCTGGAGGTGTGTGAGAAAAGGGGCACAGTGTGTGCGCTGTGGTTACACGTACCTCAGGACCTGGCCTGGCTCTCAGTCCTTGTTTAATTCGGTTCATGCTGTCTGCCCTCAAACAGGACAAAGTGTGCCTTCAGTTCCTGCTCTGTAGCCCAGGACTTTACTGTCAGATGACCTGGCAGCACACAGAGAACTCTGCACCTTTATTTTCCCCACAACATGCATTTGTTCCTGTCCATTGTTGATTAATAATAACTTTCTCCCCTGTTAGATCATCTTTATGGTGGGCAGAGGCTACCTATCTCCAGACCTTAGTAAGCTCTTCAAGAGTTGTCCCAAAGCCATGAAAAGACTGGTCGCCGACTGCATCAAAAAATCCAAAGATGAAAGACCTCTTTTTCCACAGGTACATAATATTCTTTCATAGCACCATAAAACATTCCTTAAGGACTTATTGATGCACATTAGTTTTATGAGCCTTTGAGCATTCAGCCTCCATATAACAAGAAATGCATATTGGCTGATTTGATAAAACTGACATTACTGCTATCAGACAATGCTGTGCATTTGTTGTTTAGTGCGTTTATGATCAGCTTGAACCTCTCTGTTGATGCTGATCTGTTTTGTTCAGATCTTGTCATCCATCGAGCTCCTCCAGCACGCTCTTCCTAAGATAAACCGCAGTGCCTCGGAGCCGTCCCTGCACCGAGCGGCCCATGCAGAGGACATGAACACCTGCACCCTGACCTACACCAGGCTGCCTGTGTTCTAAAGACTGCACTAACCCCATCACCTCCGCCCTTTTGATGACCCAAAGGCAATACACCAAAAGCGATACACGAAACTACCGCAGACTGTAGCTTATCAATGTGGATACTGTCAAATGTCCTTATGGATATGGACCTGCAGGGACAATGCGTCAGAGATTATCTATGAAGGCAAACTGAACCCACACATGAAGATGGGCAGGATCATGGTTAAGAAGGTGCCTTACTGTTGTCTTCCCTGGTCATGGTTACAACATTGTAAATACATTCACGTACTGTACATCTACCTAAAGACGGCACAAACGGACTTTAAAGGAAGATGGGTCAGTCCGTCCGGAGAAGGAATCCTGCACAAAGTATGGATTTAGTCCATTTAGTAGCTCAGTAGTTGTTGATTATTTGTCTTAAATGAGAAAATCTTAAATGGTGGAAAGTTATTTTTGTTTTTTGTCTTTGATGTAGACTGTCCATTGTCTCGTTGGGTCCTATTGGAGCAGTACGAGTATGGAATGGAAGACTTTGAATTTGCACATTTTTGCAAAAGCAATGGTTTTAAATCAGCAGTTCTTTCTCTGTAGTAAATGGAGGTGTAGATACCACACACTTTTGGTCCTTCCTCTGCTTTTTCATGAGCTGGACTGTTGCTGTTGTCTTAAATATTTAAATCACATGGAGACTAACATGTACTGTCTATCATGTCTCTTTCAAGAGGATAAACATATTCTATAACTGGGCGAGAATGTTCTCTATTCACTATTTTAATAAAATTAAGTTAAATTTTTGTGCCAAAGTTGATTGTGGGGGTTATTCTGCCATTCAGTATTGGGAGTCCCTAATGTGGTTTGCTAACACTGTATTAGAGTCTGGTCTTGGTATTGTTCTTGTTCTCTCACAGTGAAGTGCCACAGATCTGCTGAGATCGTGGTGATGTGTAATGTTGACTTTAGCAGTAGCAACGCAGTGCAACTGCACAGGGGACTGTGCAAACACGTCACCAGGGGCCCGCTCTGGCCCCAGATCCTCAGAGGTGCAGGCAAGAAGCATGGGAGGCACATGGTAGAAAGAAAGCTATCCTGTGTTTAGGATAAACAATGAATAATTAAAACAATATTAAAACATTGAAACATTAGAAATATACACGATACTTGAATATTTTATAGTATTTTATAGTTGTATAGTGTATTTATATTCATATATAAGCCTTGCACTTAGCTGGGTGGCAACAGAGACCCCTTGAGAATTGTTATGATTCCAGCATGATGTGAATGCAACTTATAGTTCATTATAAAGGCTAGCACATGCGATAATTGAATATCTGGTATGAGCAATTGTGACAAAGGTGACATCATCTTTCTGACAAGCTGACAACAATATCACCAGTCACTGTAGTCCTCATTAGCAGCTACTTATCTAGTTCACAAGCACGTGCAATATTGTATGTGCTGCTATTATGTAACTGATGGCACAAATTCAGTGTAGGTGTAGTCTTGTCTCCACCAGATGGCAACAGTGCTCTTGTATTTGCAATTCCTCCCCATTGATATCCAAAAAAGAGCACTGAAGGACACATGGAAGCTAGTCTTTTATCAAACCATTGAAGGTATTTCTTTTTCCTGCATTGTGTCTGCTTTTTATTCATCCTTTGCTTTGTCTCCTTGTACACACATGTTGTTTTCAGCAGATGGTTTGGTCCCATAGGGCATACGCGTCTTGTGCAGCAGCTTGGTAGACAGGGGAGGAGACTGGACAATGCTTTGAGCTGTTAATTTGTACATTTGTACATGTTCCTACTCTAAACAAAGCACTATAGATGGTCACATTTTAAATGCTATCAGACAGTGACAGAGTAGTTTGGGAGGTAGAAACCATCTGACTTGAATTTTTGAGTGGATGGTTGAGTAACCCATGTGAGTAAATGACAGCTGGTATTTGGCGTTCCTGTAGTAGTACTACCAGGACTAGACAAGCACTAAACCCAGGCTGAACGTTAATACCTGGACTAAATCAAGCCTTAGTAATGTGTAACCAACCAGAAAAAGTACTGACCTAAGGGCAATACTGTAATATATATAAGTAATTAGGAAGTAGCTCCAAGGCACATAGTTACAGTGATGATCTTAAGAAATCTCACCAGCAAACCCTTACAGAAATAAATAAAATACAAAAGAAAGCATTTATATATTGCAAAGTAAGCTTTATTGCCACTGACAATGGAATGTTTTCCTTTTTATTGTATTCAGATCTTGAACAGTCCAACAGCAGTATTGTATTTAGCATGTTTTATGGCCCTCATTTTTACACACAACCATCTGACACAATTTCACATAATTGCCAGACATTAATATTTATTTATTTAAAATCCACAAATGGTTCACCGAATCAGGGCCAAATCATGCAGTTATAACTGAAAGGAGATCCACAGCACAGTTCTTCATTGAATAACAATGTCATGGCATAAACAGAACACACTCGTGCATGGCTTTAACACGGATACACCCACTGACACAATGGCACTTAATACAGCTGAAAGAAAATCACACAGGCTTAAACTAGTGTTTCTTGGATGACAGCACATCATTTTTTACACGACTAATTTGGTAGCCAGGTGATTTGGTTTAAATTATATTCTGTTTAAAGTTCCCTATGTAACTTTTCAGGTGAAGAATCCAACACCCTCCATGGAGTTGTTATTCTTTTGCATCTAATGTTCCACAGTATGGCATTAAACATATCGATCTCTGGAGACGACACCAGGTCAAGTTACAAGTCAGATCTGTGGACTGGCAATGCTCACTGTAGCAATCCATTTCTTCAACTTATATTTTATCAGTAAAAACACATGTAATTTAATTAATGCAAGATTCCTAAGTTTCATACCATACAATGGAACATTCCAAGCAAAGACATAACATCCCCATGGATATAAGTAGGTGGCAGACCAGAAAAGTTAAATAGTGTACCTTTATTTGCAAAAGCTTTTTGACGTGACTATGAGGAAGATCTGATTTGTAAAAAAACACATACTATATTGCACTTTTTATCAGCTCACAGACACAGAGGAAGCCAAAATGATTAAAATCTTTCAACAGCAGTAGCATGAGCAGAGCAATATTTAAGCTCTAGTCCACACGTAGATGCTCTGAGCACCTGTTGTCATAGCAACACCACAATGATGGCCGAGATCTGCTGCAAGGGGCGAGTGAGGAGACTTCTACATTGTGTTTTTTCCATGCCAATTAGGACGCAAGCTCGACCCCTTCATTTCAGGCTGCACTATGCCCTCCTACACAATCAGATGAGACCATGTGAATCAACAAGCTCCAACTCATTATGTTCAATTTGATTCTGTCAACATTTCACAGGGCCAGTGTTATTCTGCATGTTAAAATAGGCATACTATTTTAAAAGGAAATGGCGTGAAATGGCGTAAAATTCAAAAATGCAGGACTTGACTTCAAATGCAGAACCTTATTCCTTGTAAGCTAATAGATTCACAAACTCATTATATAATTATCCCATAACTTCATGCCAAGACTATTGACAATCTTGAAAGTCTGATTGATTTAAAGACTTTTGATTGACATTGTATTTTCATTTAGATAATTTGTGTTGACAGAAAAATGTCAGTTTTTGTTTGATATGAATAGCCTTGATAAAAATCATCAGTATTTTGACTTGAGAATCAAATTCTACCATTCAAGTCCTACCTCCTGCCCTACCCGTTATTACTAAAAAATAAGCCAGTTTAATATAACTATATTTTAAACCTATCTGTGTTCAAGTCAGTAGTATTTATATTAATATGCTGTACAGTAGAAGTGCAGAGATTGTAATGTAAAAACAAAATCTTTGGTTCAAAATGATACAAATACATTTAAGATACACTGCAGACATAGCGTCATATATAATAAATCTTCAACTCTTTTAAATATAGCCTTTACTGTAGGATTAAATATTAGTAATCTCTATAGGTTTCTGTTAGTCTAAATAGACATGTGAATGTTAAGTACTGTATTTCTTTGTAAAATACACAGGGTTTTATGTTAATGGATAGCATTTAGCAACATCACATTCACAAGGCATGAACCACGAGGAGCACATATAGGCGAAAACAACAGCGACATCCCACTTGACCTGGACACTTTACAATTAACCTTCCATCATACCAATCATGCAAAACATAAATAAATCACTACTGTGTAAAAATAACCACTAGTAAATCCATACACGCTTACATACTGTACACAATATACTTCAAAGTGCACCATTTTCCACAGTTTTAACAATATCAAACTAAAATAGGGGTCAAAGGGTAAATGAAAAATGAAATAGCTGGGCTAAACCCTTTGTAGCACACAGCAGCACTGAACTTAGTGTAGGCACAATCTTGCTTTTTATATCATCAACAGACCTGAACGAAAAACCACAGCTATTGAACAGAAAGGACCGCTACAAGCACACAAACCTACAGGTAGACAGTACGTTTTGTCACTGCATAGAGTTCAAAACACAGTCCGGCAGTTAGCTGTACCAAGCCAAAGTCACCTGATCCAGTATGCACTCCGCACCTCCGTCTGTACATTAGTGGCTAGTGTACCTCTAGAATTATATATAACTTCTTCTGTTCCTTGGCAGTTCAGTTGGCCTGCACTGGTTTTGGTCCCACTGCGACACCGTTACAATCGAGAATATACTGCAGACAGCTGTTAGGAGGGTGGCCATCTTTAAGGGGCTCACCAGTGGTCTCTCCTTTCAGACCAGTGCCCTGGGACAACAGAAACATCAATCAATTAGACATTTGCACTTATAGTGCATATAAATATTGACCACAGGCATTATCCTGCCAAACTAAGCAATTATTAGAAAAACATAAAAACCTGTAATCTGGTTTTGAAGATAATTGTAGTAAGTACAATTGACGTGAATACACAATGCTTTATAAATTTTAACTTGATTAGTTGAAACCAATGTATTCACATAACTGAAGATAAACATACAAAAACACATAACCATTGGTTAAAATAAATTTATTCTGGGTGAAAAAAAAGTCAAATTATACATCCTATGAAAATCTAAAGAAATTAGAATGATATTACATGTCTCTTTGCAATGTGGCTTGTCCTTATAGTGTTCATTTGTTTAAGGTATTTGTTTATTTATTTATTTGACTGGGACAATGCAGCCATACATAGTCACAGGCAAAGCATGCAGGTGATTAAAGTCATACCTGTGATGGCTGGATAGTGGTGGGTCTCGGTGGCGCGTTAGCTTGCTTTTCTGCTAATGAGTTCATTTTGTCCAGCACCATGTCCGCGATCAGCTGTCTGTCTTCAGCCTGGTGCTCTCCAACCAGAGGCATGGATGAGCCAACAAACTGTGAATTACATACAGCAACAATGTCACTCATGTAATAACCATTGTAATAGCCAGAGTAAACAGGTATCAAGTAGCATCAAGTAAAACATTACAACCAATGGCTAATGGGCAATTGAATATGATTAGTCAATTGTTAAAAGTGAAATGTATTGTGAAATCGTGATGTTTAAATTAATGGATTGAAGCATCTCTAAAACAGCGCCTCTCAAAGAAGGAACCAGAGATAGACCAGATCCAACAGATACTGCTGGACTCAGTAATTTAAGTTAGTGGTTCTTCTTGATACTAGTTTCAAACTATGATACAGGTATCATATGTGTGGTATGCAAGCTCTTCCCCAGCAAAAACCTTTGCAGTTGTAGTATTTTCTTAAATTAGTCTTTGTTTAGAGCCACTGTAATTAGTGGAGTATTCATATTTTAGATTGTAATTCAGCCCTAGTTAAGACTTACTTGTTTTGATCTGATGGTAACTTGGAGGGTAAATATTTTCTTTGAAAAGCACTGATGCGTATAATGTTGAACTCTTACCTCTGTGATGTAATCTTTGCCATCTTTTCCGTGTATGGCTTTGACCGCACAGATGTCCAGCCCCCCAAAAATCTCTGAGCAGGTGTCAACCCAAAGCTTGTACCTAAATAGTGAACATGCATATGAGATTTGCATTTATAATAAGCAATACAGTTCCTCAGGTCTCTAGTAAATGTTCTTTAACTTACCGGTCTGTCATAGCCACCTGTTCAAGCATAGCTGACCCTGTATTGGTCTTCCAGTTTCCAGATATAGAGGTTCTCCTGAAGAGCACAACAATGGCATGTTAACACCACTTGGTAACACTGTTTATAATAATGTAGGCTAAGTAATGGTAAAAATGTATTTATACATAATACATACATGTAGGCTTTATAGTCGTTGCCGATCTTCTGGATTCTGATGTCGTACTTGGAGTCGATGAGTGGCTCTGTAGTTGTGTACGTTTGGGTTAAAGCCACGACGCTTGCAATATCCTGGAATTTAGTGTGATTGTCTACTTTCACCTAGACACAATTAAAAAAATAGCCAAAAGCTAGATTTAAGTTGGTGTCACAAGATCCCATAGACCACAGACCCATCAGACTTAATTTGGAGATATGCTAAATTGAAATATGGAGTATATTGTCTATAATATGAAAAGGCAGCAAAAAGAACTGATCAAACTTGCAGTGAAATGTTTCTGCCTCTACATGGTTAATATTACAGTTCATTCAGGTTTTGTGCAATACTCGAACCTCTACCGTGACATTTAAAAGCATATTTTATCCAAATTAATTGGTATAATAACATTATATCATCATCATTGAAATAATAATCAACATATACATTTTTGTCATCCACTTTTATTTATGCTGTGGTTTGGGCATATAAGGGACCTTGTCACTTATGCAAATGATCTGAAAATAGTAAAAAATTCCATATTTCCATATCAGTCACAAACAGTTTTGAACCTAAAAACAATACCTTTCCCATGCCAGAGTGAGCATGTCCAATCTTCACAACTACTGGGAATGTTGGCATGCTGACCTGAATATAGACAAAATAATAGTTAATTAATCTGAAACATTATTATCATCATATTGCTTAAATTAATTTCCTCACCATTTCTTTATAGTTTGGATAAAACGTCTGCTCAATCAAAGGGAACTTCTCAGCCCCTAGTTTCCTGTGAGTGTTAATTAGTTGGGCAAACTAGACAGAAAAGACAGTAATTAAATCCATGGGGCAGGGAATAGATACATTTTTGTTATTATCTATCCATGGGTTTCAGAATGATGAAAAAATTGCACTGTTGCCAAAGCAATTAACAATTAAAAACATTCTGTTAAATGGTGAAAAATCTTCAAAATGCCACCTATGATGGTAAGCTGAAACCCATGAACAGACCCAGACTTTTATGAAATGGAGGATCCTTGATTTAATGTAACAGTAGCACCATTTATGTATAAAATATTTTACTATTTGAAGTTGAAATGTGAAGTAATACATCTTCCATCGCCAATTCATCTTTTTAGCATAAAATTATTACTCTTTTTATTACATTATTTCTTCTTATACCAATTTAATGTTCAGCTGTTTTTGATCTATGGAGTTTAGAGTGATGAAAAAATGAACAGATCATAACAATATAATATATCTTTTAAATGGTGAAAAGTGCTTAAAATGGCACCTATTAGCAGGAAGCTGAAACCCACACATAGGAGCTCACTGTCACATTTTGTATTTATTGGAGACGCTAGAAAAACATTGAACAGCTAAATGCCTACCGCCCATGGCTTGTCACAAAGATTATAGATGGACTCCAAGGAGTTGATGCTGGGGACTCCTCCGTACTGCAGGCCAATAATCAGGTTTCGGAAGTCCTCATTGTGGGTCATGCTGAAGGCGTGCTGGCGTATGAGGACAAAGTCAGGCTTAAATGACCTAGAAAAACATATTATATATATATACAGTATATTATATTAGCACGATTACAGTTGATTCAAAGTTCATAGTAAGATTTATTTCTCTGCTGTTATCTTACCTGACAACTTTAGTGCCATTCCTCAGTACCTGCATGTTAACAGTGCATGTCCCGTTTGCATTTGCCACAACATTGATTTCCTTAAATTCAGCCTTAAAATGGGAAAATAAGTGGAGGAAAGTTGAGATGTAACAATGTGCTTCTTTAATGTATTAACGTGATCTATAATACATACCTGCTCTACTTTGAGGTCATAATCTTCATACACTTTCTTTCCCCGGAGTAACTTGGCCCTGTAAAAATAAAGCACATTTTCTAATTATTGTTTTAATGGTGGAATGCTTCTTTATGTTGTGTAACAATTTCAGTACTTTTGCTTTAGACCTGATTTGATCCATTTTAGATGTGATTTAGTCTAGATTTTATATAACAGTGCACTATGAAATTTTTCTGGAGGAGAGTACATCGCTTGCTAATTTCCATGGAGATTATATTGCTTTAGAATTGGAATTATGCCTATGCATGGCATTACATTTATGGATGAATACCAGCAATTGACGCCATCAAGCCAAGTTACAGGTAAGATCTGTGGTGACTTGGTAAACTCGTAAGAATGCATGTTTGCATGTTTCAATAAAGCTTTCAGGCAAAGCAATAACATCTGGTGAAAAGATAAGTGAAATTGTGCACCTTCAGTTCCTGGTTCATTCAAGCAGGTATATTTTCTGAGGTAGTATGTGCTATGATTACTATATGTAATTTGTTTTTCCTCAACTAGCCTTACCTAAAAGAGGCATATAGCAACATATATGCTGTTTGTAAAGCTGGCAGTACAAATAACACAGCGAATAAAATACTCTTACTCCAACTCAGGCAGGAATCATTTTTCAGGCTGAATTTTCTCTTTCAGAAAAGTGTCAGCAGTGACAGAGACAAACAATGACGCCCACGGCACTGTGAACGCTGTAGCGTCTCTAAATGTAGGGCTCAACAGAGCACAGTTGAAAAGGACAATTGCTAGTTCACGTACAGTAAAACCACACAAGAGGGAGAATGAAAGGGATGTGGTCTGTTGGAGTTTCGCTGCAAAAATTAAAAAGAGAATACAAATAAATTTCCCATAAATTGTTAAGCTTTGACTTTGGCCACCCTAGCAAGTGGTTCATACTAAATGTATAATAGTTCAGATGTACAAAAGCCACTGTAGAAGTGTAGTGGCCATGTTTTAGCTTTAAACAGCCACACTGACCTATGGGTGTGGAAATTTCCAAACCAAAAGCTCACAAAGAGAAAGAAAAATTAAGCCAGGTGTGCTACTTCAGTATGAAATGTTTTGTATTCTTTTGTCTAATAGCAGACATCTATTAAAGTATATAAATACTACAGTATGTTACTGATTTTTCTACAGCCCAAAATTATGTTAAAAAGAACCACATACTAGAATGTTTGGAGAGACATCAGACATTTCCAGACTTGATACAAGTACAGAGGCAGGTCACGGAATTTATATAATATTTTCTAAATAAATAAAATGTCCCAGAATGTTTAATTAACCACAGTTTGGAGGATGAAACTTTTTCTTGTATCACTGACAAAGCTTCTGCTGCTTTTAAGGACAAGGGACATGGTGATTAAAATAGCTCTATCTGATCATTGACAATTAGAAATTATCTTTATTTGGACAGGGAAAAGTGGATGTGAAGTTAGTTCTGAGTGAAGATGATGAACAGGATGGTGTCAAATAGTTGCCAGGAAAAAAAGGAAAAAGACTTTTAGTTTAGACTTAGACTAATAAACCAAAAAGAAACTAACATGGGCAAAACTCTATTATGCTAAAACTAACTAGGCAATTTAAAAGTACCTGAAAGCCGCAGACAGTATATATAAATTTGATATTCACAAAACAACTTCAACAGAGATTGCATTTTTCTGTTCCTGCTCATCCTCTCCCTGTCATTCTGTGGACGTGTTGCAGCATAATTAGTGAGGAAGCAAACCTGAATTATTTATTTTCCCAATCTAATTTGGGATTGCAGCTCTTAGTTGGCTGTGGAGGAAAACAAGATTTAAATATGACTCAGGGCTCCTCCTTCTAGACTTTTCCAATAATGAGATATGTAAACAGCTTTATTCATCACAACCCAATAAACCAACATTGGATGAATTGTATTTAGTGATTTATTTACATTTCATACTTTGTAGTCGACCTTTATTATGTCTAGAATCTGCTTTGTCATTCAGAGGAGTGCAAGGAGCAATAGAGGATCCTATCCAATAAAACAATTCAATTTAAGTACATCTCCACAGAACCACAGACAGCTATCACCTGCATTTAACATCTTAACTTTATTGAGTGAGTCTTGGTTTATTTCTCAGTTACTTTTACCAGTGGGAAATGAACCCCCAACCCAGGAAAACAAGCTTAAAAAGACAACCTCCTCTCTGGAGAAGACATCTTGGAAGCAGAACAATAGGGTCGGATATGGCAGGATGTTTTACTTGCATCATTTATTTGTTTCTAATCAATACTCTCTTTCATGAATTACCAATGAGATAGAGCTAAACATGGTTCATTTTGACCAATTACATTATTATGAAAAGACATCAGTCTAATTAAATACGATTTATAAGATATGGGAATATATAAATATGTACAGCGGCATAGTTCTGTCAATGACTCCTGTGAGAGTGTGAGGAGCAGACACTCCAACTGAATATTAATGCTGGTAACAAGGCAGCTTTGACAGTCACTCCCATATGCACCCAAGATACAGATATAAACAGCCAAATTATTATTGTATTGTATTGCATTCATTTCAAGAAAACATTGTCCAGATAATGACCATTGAAGCCATCTACGATGGTGGGCAACTCAAAAAGTCTTAAGAAATCTCAAAAATTCCACAACAATAAAAGTAAGCTTTATTATTATTATTATTTTTTTTTTCATATTCGTATTAAGGTAATTTGAGATATGGAATGAAAAATGCAGATGGAACTACTCATATCCTATTTACTCTGTTTCAGTTATGCCAATGTGAAAATATGCTGTTAATTACTGCTAAAAACAAATTTTACTTCATCTATTTGAAATATGACAATAATTATCACACTGCAATCTGGCAAGGACATTTCAAGAAAATGACAAGAATATAATTTTACAAGCCTCTGAGCCTCCACAACAACACAATGGTATCACAAGTTATTGGAAGTAGCAAGAAATAAATTGTGACACTAAAAAACTTGATTTAACCAGGAAATGTATGCACTCATATAGAATAGTGATGTCATGATACTGAATACCGATTCCAAAACCACAATAATAAAAAACACACCTTCAATAGAATGACTTTTCAGCATTAAATAATAGTACTTTCTTTTTCTTTTCTTGTCAGATCTCAGTCACTAAACAAGGCTGGGTCTGGTTAAGTGACTTTGAGTATCAAAGAGCTATATATAAGACTATAAAACTATAACTATAAGACTAATGCATTATTATTATTACAACATTACAATGTGATATTATATCTGTGTAATCCCTCAGTCATTCAGGTAGGTTCCATAGTGGTCTATGGGCCTACTAGTATACATACTCTTCTACTTCTTCTGAAATATCTCAAAATCATTTTAAAGCTTTTTAGGAAAGATGTATTTCGGCCCTGTAAATGTGACATTTTTTGTATTGGTACTTGCTCAAATGAGTATCTAGTTTTGATACTAGTTTTAGTATCGATTAGTATCTGATTTTCAACAACTCTAATACAAAAGCAGTTAATATTATTCTTGTGGTGCCTGAAAAAGACGGTGCCATCTGCTCTTCCTGTCATGAGTAATTTATAGCACAATCTCAGATAGAACAAAACACACATGTCCTCACTTGTCTGGCTGCATCATCAATACAATGTAAATATTGAATTACCCAAAAATATAATGTTCTAAAGCTGTGCATCTATTCAGTTGCGCATTTGCAAGTATAAAGTCACATCTAATACACATTCAACATTAAAAGATCTATCTGTAATAATTGTAATATGTGCATAGTTAATTTCATTTCACTGGCATTGTGGTGCATTGCTACAGAAAATATCAATACAGATATCTGAAGTAGAGGTGTGTGCCTGTAGACTGCCTAGTAAATATTAGATAAAAATGTTACTTGTGTGTGATATAAAATTGAAATGCCAACAACGACAAAACAAGTGAGAAAAAGCAAGTGCAAACACCACTGAGCCAGAAAAAATAGATGCAGCACCCACCCACCCAGGAAAGCTTTGTAACTGAGCACTACCGATAATGCCAGAATGAACTAAACATATCAGTAACAGACAAATATTATTCAAGTCTCAAAATCTGGAAACTTCTATAGAGCGTTAACACAAGCCAAGACCGATGCATGAATTGTAAACTACACTCTCACTTGCAGTGCATGGGTATATTAAGTTTACATGACCTCAGATGACTTCAGAAAATGTGTAATATGTTTCCTTAGAAATAATAACAGCAGTAGTATTAGAACAAATTGTATGTGGGTGTTACGAGTTACATGAGTCTATCTGCCATTATAGGATGATCCAATTAATATTGATTGACATTTATACAAACCAAATGGCGAGTCTCTTGCATGTAAACAAGACACTGGCGAATCCCCTGCGTGCAACCAAATCATGCTTTTTTAATTTTAGATACGTTCAGCCTAATGCAGAGCCCTAAAGAGTAATTGCTCTGCCCCACTGCTGTGTCTTGCCACACATCTTCAGTTGTTTGATTTTCTATCTCTGGGTGGGAGTTGATAATTGGCCATTAAAGTCAGCGTAGGCAAAAAGACTGAGTTGTAATCAAACAAATGTGTGGATAAACCATTAAGATAACAGCAACATGTTTTCATTATAACAGCAATAACAGTCATATGCATTAACATACAGTCAGTTCAAATGTATGGCCCAAAATAAAAGACATATATTCTTGCTAAAGTCAGTTCAAATCGCCTAAAATGCCTCTTTGTATTGATTTACAGAAAACCACAGTTACTGGTGTGGTGGATCTTTCTGCCCATCAAGTAGAAAAGATTTATTTTGACTTCTCTACTTCCTGTTCGTATCTAATATGTATCACGCAGGCATCCGTCTCCTCATATGTGCAAAGCATGTCATGTGACCAGGTATATGGCAGCACCGGGAAACCCCATTGATAAAGAGGAGCACTGCAGCATAACATGCAGAGGGTGAGATGCATAAAATATTCATAATGTATTTGGGAAAACCTACAATGCCAGATTATCGCACAACTGTGAGTGTATGTGATATACAATCAAACATACAAATGCATTGAGCTTATTTGACCAAATGAATATATTACCTCATTATAAAGGCAGGCAGGAAGACCAGGAAACGTCCATTTTGGAGTCTTGTGTGTCTTATGATTTATATCTAGAATGGATGTTGTTGCATCTTATAATACTTAATGTTGTGGTTTGTGTTTAAAAAAAACAAACGTAATCTAATATACCTTTACAAATCAAAATATAATGCTGTTTACTGTATCCCCATTGAATTTAATAAGCATGTAAATTAGCTTGTTTAAAACATTGTCTTACCACTCCTGTGAGGGCTCATCAATGACCAGAAGTATCTTGAACTTCTTGGATGTCGTGACTTGGGTTTGCTCCACTAAACCTGCTGAGGCGGCTGTCTGCTTCACTACATTGGTGATGGAGCTGAAGAAGCTGGTTCCCGTGGATTGCGTTGGCTGGGTTTTCCTCTCTGGACCGGGGGATGTGGCTGGCGCTGTGGGCCCAGCTGAGGTGGGGGACTTGGCGGATAGAGCCTGAGGAGGAGGTGGTTGCGCCGGGTCAGGCCTCTGGAGGTCCGAGATGTAGCCATTGGGAAGATTAGAAATGAAAGTGCTGTCTGAGAGGCGCCGACGCAAATAATTCATGCCTGCAGATTGGAAGAGCAAAACAAATTAGTTGGAAAAAGGTGAGGAGGAGCCCTGATGCTGCCTTGTGTATAGTGGCTGATAATGGCTGAGCTCTGAAGGCAAACTCCCAGCGAATGCATTCAGCGGAGCATCCTCAGAGCTCCCACTCACGGGCAGTGACGCTGCAGACCCCCTCAGCCAATCCCCTCTCTCTCCCCTCTCTTTGCTCCACAGCCTCTCCTTTCCTGTCCTCTCATCTCCACCCTTCCCCCATCCTCGGCTGCCTCACAGGCGTCATGCTTTTAGGAGCTAGAGCACAGAAAATACAGGGGTTTCCATTGGTGGAGAATTTGTTTTTGAGTGTTATATAATTACATTACCATGCTCTTAATAGTTTTCTTTCCTGGATTGCACAGTATTTTTGTGCCTTGTGTAAAATAAAATGGCTCTGCGACCAATGGGCAATGTGGACAGAATGAGTAGCATCACCAACAGCAGTCCTGTGAGAAATGCAAATCTTTTTAAAATAAAGAAAATTTCTTTTCACTTTTTTCAGAGCAACATACAGGTACAAATATATAAGGTTGCACAAGTCACCATAAGGCAAAACAATGAATTACTAACCACAGTAAGATAAAAGTAGATTTAAATCTTGAGCTGGGTTAAAACAAATCAATAGATCAATAATATAGTGGTCAGAGAGGTCAGAACAAATACTGAGATGCATATGTTAATATAGACATATGTCAAGAATTCCAAATGGTAACCTTCTTGTTAGAAGTGCACATGTTTTTTTTTACTATGTTTCATGGTTTGCAAGCCATGAAACAAAAAATATATAAAAACAATAAAACATTCTATTGCACACTTCTATAAGAGCCAATTTTTTTTTTCCATTTTTGTCATTTTCTTGGATCATCGCTCAAGCAGTCAACCAGACCACTGGTGATCACTAATGGTCTGGCTTGTCAACATGCAGATGAATTCATATGATCAATTAGTAAAGAGACAGGAGCCATTTTGAAGGCTTGTTCCTACAACCACAAAGAAGAAAAATGAATGCCTCTCAGAGAAAGAGATAAATTAACCAAAACATCTTTTTAATCCACATTAAATCTAATGTAAAGACAAGTAAGACAGTACTTACATTAACATTATTTGCATTTATAAGAGCTAACATAGTGTTATCTGTTGTAGGTCTCTAGTGCCACCAGCTGGCAGTATTCGCTCATGTCTGCCAGGGACCGAATACTAACGCTGAAAGCAACTTCACATTCAACTTTTGCAAAACATACCAAAACATTCGTCTTACACTTTTCAGTGGGCTGTATGCATTCCACGCTTCGCATACTATGATGTAAAAAAAAAAAAAAAACTAAAGGAAAGTTGTCGCATCTAATGATTTTCTTGAACTAAATAAACATAATACAAGTTCACCTTGTGTAAGAGCAGTCGTGTTAAGCTCAGTAGATTCAGAGGCTTTTGTTTGCCTCTGGGACCATTGGCTGAGAGGCTGTCTGTCCTGGGCATGGTCCTGGGACACCCGCGGGCGGCCTGGGCCCGCCTCTGCAGCTCTGGAGAGGGGCAGATCCTTGGGTTTGGTTTACGCAGGCAGCGATCAGCTCCGATGCTAATGCTAACGCTGCTAATGTTATTGTGGATGGAGGCAAGATTTGTCGACGAGCTTTAGTCCCCTACACGATTCAGTGGCCTTGTTAACGATCTTATTTATTATCTGATCACCAACTGCGTATCTTACCACAACCGTAAGTCTAACTCTTGCCCACTTTAAGTGAAAATATATTTACTTTTTCATGTATGTTAGCTTGATGTACAACTCGCGTAAACGACAAAGTGGCGTTAGCCAAAGTAAGCTAAACCTGCAGTTTGTGCGTAACTCCAAGTAACGTGAAGCGAAGTCGCTGTTAGTTCAATTGTGACACTGTAATAAACAGGACAACTTTCATGTTCATCATGTTTACTGTAATGAAGCCACGCATCTAAGTTTGTATTTCAGGATAATGCTAACTAGTATAGGCCAGGATCCTTGAAAAAATCAGCCACTGAACATTGATCTGACTTTTTACCACCACTGTCTGGACTAGTTAAACTTTTTGGCACTAAACATTTGTTCTATCAAAGTAAACGCAGTGAGTTTATTCGACAGACACATCGCTAACATCAATGTTAGCCTCCAGGCTGTCCGTGTGATGCTCGTCTCTATAATGGACCTGTTGAACTCTCAGCTTCTGGACAAGATGAACAACAACCTCGGCAGACTCTACTTTGAAGGTTATTACATTGCATTTTCATTTTAACGGCTTTATGTAACAATTACATAGATGCTTAATAAAAACAAGATTGCGTTCTGTGGTTGAATCCACTGTAGCATATGCTGAAAGATGAGTGAAAAGACATTTTGATTAGTTAAATTAGATTTGTGCAATGCACTTGTTACAAATGTATGTTATTTTTATGTCAATTTTTCAGATGAGTCCAGGGCAGCCACCTTGTCCACTTCAGTGACAGGTATCACTGGGCCTCCCTCACACTGCCCCAGTAAACGAAAATATGGAGAACAAATGGAAGATCAAATGAACTCAGATGATGACCACATGGCCAAAATGAGACTTTTTGCTTCCCAAATGTGAGTATATTTAAAAATATGCATATGATATGCTTATATTTGACTGAATTTTGTTGTACTTTATTGTCTCATTCAGGGTCAGACCTGCTGCTGGGAACAATCGTAACGAGCACTGGAGCTACAACCCCATTCCTGTCGAGCCCCTCTCTGCCTCTAATGGTCTCCATGGAAACCACCTGTTTGCTTCCATCCCGAGCTTCACTGTGGATCAGCCTCTGGCTCTGACCAAAAGCACTCTGGACCCTACTGCTGGAGGAAGGGACAGGCCTGTTACTGCGGGCAGTGCAGAGCGACAGCAGGTATGTGAGCTATGTGCTGCTAATGGAGATATCAAAGCAATCACTAACAACATCCATATTTACAGAATCGACCCTCAGTAATTATCTGTGCTCCTGCAAGCAACCGCAACTGTAACCTATCTCACTGCCACATGAATGGCTCTTCAAGCCAAGAGTCTGACCAGAAAAAGGCCAATGGTGAGTTAAATATTCATGTCCATTTACTGCAAAGATCCAAGCTTTTTATACTTTATCATGATTTTCCTTTGTTCTTCCAGCTCAAACTGAGTGTGACCCAGTGATTGAGGAGCACTTCCGCCGCAGCCTCGGGAAAAACTACTCAGAGCCAGAGTCCAACTCTGTGTCCATCACAGGGTCAGTGGATGACCACTTTGCCAAAGCGCTTGGTGCCACCTGGCTCCAGATCAAGGCCAAGGGTGGGGGTCCACGTGCCCCAGAGGCAGACCCGTGAACCACAGGGCTAAACTGTTCAATCACTTTAAAGTGAATACTGTGAGTGCAGATCACACTCTTGGTTTTTGCCAAGCACACATATTTTACAAACCTAAGAACAATATAAAGGTGCTCACATATACAGACTGTTTGTTGGGCTCAAATGTCCCATTTAACTTGTGAAACACAAATTCTTATTGTGATATTGAATTTATAATTCATAAAACTAAGAGAAACGTAGCAGTGTTGAATAAGTTACATTCACATTAATATCAACATGACATTTGGGATGTACATTTGATGACCTAACATACTTTTATAGCCAAAGAAATTCTCAGCATTTTGCAACTTAAAAGCCATAGATTGACCCAGACTTTCCCATTCATCATTTTCATTGCAGTTACTTTTAATATTATATTACTTGAACAACTTGCCAGGTCTAATCTGCAACACTGCATTTAAAGATCTCAGATGGCAGGTTACGCCATCATTTGGAACTAGTATTTTTAAGTGTGATTTTGCAATCAAGTCTTCTTAAAACACTATGTATCTGATAACAAAATAACTGGACTTATCCACTATTAACTTAAAACCAGTAGAATATTCATGCAGATTTTGATCAACTAAACCAGATACCAGTAGATGACTAAAACAATGAAACTTGTTTCAAATGGCTGGTTTCTATTACAATCTTTATTCTATTCAGTATATTATCTCAGATTTTATTTTTTATCTAACAATGTTGTAGAATTACTCACTGCTGGAACAGTTGTAATCAATATATTTTTTGTATCTGGTTTTCATGACTATATGTGGGTGTGTTAGCATCCATGTACCATTTACAGCCTCTGGCCAGGTTGTCTGAGTGCAGAGTGTGGGACTGCATGTGTTGGTCTCTATGGAGCTGGACACCAGGGCTTAATACATGACTGAGCAACAGTGACCTTTGTAGCAGACTTTATTTATTCTCAACAGGAAGTAGCCTCATATTAACTTAGACAAATGTGGTGAGGAAAAGTAACTGTGTATTGCTCCTCTGTTGGCAGTTTCTTTTTTTTTTATTGTGAAACATTCCACTGTCCACCACTTTTTGTGCCTCATCTTTATGCAAAAACTGTTACTTTTCCACTTTTAGGTTTAAATCAGAATTACAATTTTGTTAAGACATAAAATAATTTGTTTATCTAGTGCCACCTGTAGGTCAACACTGATTATAGTATTTTAACTCCTGATGTCCTGTCTGTGAAATACATTTGTATTTTACTGTACTGGTCTGAAATGGTTATACAAGTGCTTCTATTTTATTTACCCGTATGAGACTATCATTGCGCCGAGCGGAATGATTATCATCACTTAGTTTTGTTAAGAATAGTGTACTCATGTATCATGGATTAATTTCTAACCATGTTTTTGTATTGACTTTTACAATGTGATTCATTTCCACCATTAGTTAAAGTGCAGGACCACATCTTTCGGAGAGATGCCTGGACAGTTTAGAGTTTGTAGTTTTCTGTGTGTACCATAGTTGAGGGATTATCTTCGTCTGCTTGTTTGACACAAGTAGAGTGGTAGAAGTATGGGCTTTTAGACCATTTTTATTTAAATGCTTTATTTTTAGACTACCTGGATGTCAGAGACTGTTCAGACAAATATACGTTTCATATCATTTAGAAAAGAAAAGAATTGTTAATTCTCTGGAAGAAAATGCCACTGTTTTATACTTTCTATAATTTTCTTTT